CCCCCTTCCCCCCCTTTTCCCCCTCCCCACACACATACGCGCGCGCGCAAAGTCCAAATTGGAGGTCGTGCAAGAAACTATTCATCGCTTAACTGGGCGCTTATCGCTATGTACAACAAGTAGCATACATGGGTACTTGGTCACATGAATAGTGACCCGATTGAACCTTACAACATTGTCTGTTTTATTACACAAAGTGTTTGATATGCGTTGACATATAGAGTGAGTCTCGTTACCACTCGGCTGTGCAGTGATGATTTGCAAAGTAAAGTTTCATATTAACTTTTTACATCTGCAAATGACCTAAACTGATATACTGATATGATATGACGGCCATGAACTTTTTCACTTGAAATTCATTGTCATCATCTATTATAGCTTTCTCATTATTCAAGTTTGATTCACTACTTTTTTTATTGAGGGAAACGTTTTGCAAAATTGTAGTGTTAAATCTGCTACTGCATAACATATCCTTTTACTACAAAAAGAGGTATTAAAAAAAAACGGGGAAAAAAAAGATTATCAATTCGATACGAGTTCGATATGTATTCGATATGTGTTTTTTGTAGCAATACAAACTAGAAGCACGAATATGAAAAGCTAAGCTTGGTGAGAGAGTAAGTAGATACAGAGATGTTGGTAGCGGTATTGATTGTTGAAAGAAGAAAAGAGAAGTTTTATACGCATCTTTCTCTCTGACTTAGACTATGCTTATAAACCACACATTTAATAGGCGCATTAAGAACAAAAAAAGAAAAAAAATAATAGATAATAATAGATATGCCGTCGGTTGCCTGTTTGACCTAGAATGTATCCGAAGAACAACGGCTGTGAAAGATGAAATGACATGAAACTAAGAAAAAAGGAAAGAAAGAAGAAAAAAAAGAAGAAGAAAAAAAAGGAAGGTATCTACACGTTGGCTTGTTGATTTGTAGTTTTTATCCTAAAAGATTATGCAGTTCAAACGTGCAAACATGCTATAGAATAGAAGAGTTTTTATTTGAGTCTTCAACAACTCCTTCCTATTGAGTAACACAATCAACATGGTAACATCAATTGTGCAAAGATGAGAAGATGAGAAGATGAAAGTATCAGAAAAAAGTGGTCTACTATTTTCCTTATTCCTTGTTACATTGTAAAGCGCCGCGTACTCAAAAAAAAAAAAATTGAACTGTTCTCTTGGATCAATTGTTTTCTTTCCCACTTTTTCTATTTATTTATCCCTATCGCGATACCTGGGTGTCTGCGTTAATAACGTCCTCATTTTTTTTCTCGCACCGCCCCCTATCAACAGTCATATTTCGCACAGGTTTGGTAGCCATGATCTCCCTCTCTCCATCTCTCTCTCCATCTCTCTCTCTCTCTCTCCATCTCTCTCTCTCTCTCTCTCTCTCTCTCTCTCTCTCATTTTTGTCTTTTTGTACGTTTCCAAGTATTGTTGCTCTTGTTTGTTTGTTTTTTTTTCTACTTCCTTTTTCTATTTTTTGATTTGTTTTCAAATTTGCCATTTTAAGATTTTCTCTTTTTGAAGACATTGCAGTTTCTGAAAGAAGAAAAACCAATCTCAAAGATTCCATGTTCTTTGTGTAAAGAGCGGTGGCTAAACTCTTAGAGACGCCATGATATGCAGAAGACACTATGTGACAACTTATCGGAAAAAACCTAAATATTAAAAAAGTCACTCGCGGTGGCAGTCACAAACGGTCCTTTTATGGATCTGATGATTTTGTAGCACTTTTGAAAAAGGGAGAGAAAAATATGAGAAAAACTAGAGAAAAACACTTAGTTGACGCAACCTCATATACTGAGATCGTTTAGGTGGTCTTGTCCCTTGAGTAGTCTTGTCTCCTATTGAACTCTTGAGTGGTCTTGTCTCTTTACTTGTGATATCTCCTGATACACACTCTTGAGTGGTGTTACCACTCAAAAGCTCAAATAAGGTTGCTCCAATTTCTAGTTTAGTTTGCAAAATTATTTTTATAATTCGACTGATTTCGGTTATTTCATAAATAGTTGTACTAAATAACAAAGAAAAAGAAACAAAAGAGGAAAAAAGGGTGGCGGCGAGAGAATAACAATAAAACTAACTAATGTATAAAATGTATCTAGTTTAAACTTGATGATAAATATGTATGTACTATGTTTTTTATGGATGAATCTGTGTTTTCTATGGATGAATCTGTGTTGATATATATATATATTATCCACTTGTCTAATTGAAAGTTGCTCATTGGTATCATCATATAGTTTATCTCTTCTTCCCTGTTTCTTTTACGTTTTTTAATAGAGTACCTTTTCGCATCACCGTCGCAGCCATTCACTGCCCCCGCACCCCCCCCCTTCGTTTCGTGCTACCCCCTCCGCCCCTCCGCCCCTCCCTCCTTCCTTCCTTTCCCCCTTCCCTTTGCTCACTTGTGATATCTTTGTTTCAATCTTCACGAGTTTTGTATATATTCCCCATTTAGTAACAAAAAAAAACCATTGGATTTTCTTTTGTCCAGTTTTTTTGTGCAATCAACAAGCTTACTTACTACCCAATAAACAATTGACTAAAGAGCGCCAGGCGACAGAGAAACAGAGCAACAGAGAAACAGAGACAGTTTCAGACAGACAGTTCAAGTTAGTGAGAGTTTCAAGACAGAGATTTTAAGACAGACAGTTTGAGATAGTGAGCCCTAATATCACTGAGTCTTTGAAAGATTGAGTCTTTGCAAGTTACATGAAAAGACAAAAAATCAAAAATCCAAATTAAGGAATATCGAAAATAAATAAAAAAAAGGTAGAAAAGAAAATTCATTGATTACAACTTTTTCTACTTATTCAATCCTTCAATATAATACGCAACTTGGTAAATTACCAATTAGGTCGAAGAGATTGATTCACTTAGTTGAAGAAAAACTTGTAATTGTGGTGACAAAAGCTGATTCAACACCTGCTTCCTAAACTGATATCTTTGTTCAACTTGAGATATCTTTGGTTTCACCACTAGCAATTTTTTTATTTTTTTTTTCCTTTTTCCACCAAAAAGAGAAATCACTTTAAAACCAAAGTGCATTTTTGAGTCGATATTCCTAGCTCAATATATAAAGTTGCCTTGAAATGCCAAAAGTTACAGCTGCTTCTACTAATAATGAAAATGACTATAGACTAACGCGGTCCAAAATAGCACACCTTCATCAGAAACACCAACTAAGTTCAAGCGATACGGTCATTTACAGCAACAGCAACAATCAGCTCTCTTGTCAAGAGCCTATGGAGACATCTACTCAAAATGATGAAGAAAATATTCCACCAGTGTTTTCAAACACTACAACTACAGCTGGGAAATCAGCCAATATGACTAAATTTTCAACAAGAACAATTACTACTACGCGTCGGAATCTAGGTGACGTCTCTAGTCAGTATCATGCCAGCTCGGTTAAACCTCTGCAGCAGCTGCAGCAGCAAAACAAGAAAAGGAAACCGTTTGGGGGTGATTTTGCGCTTTTGCATCCTCATAATAAAACTACTAGTAATGCTGCTGCTGCTACTAATACTACAAAGTCAATACCTATTGCTGAGGATGCTCCTTCTTCAAATAGCGTCACAACCAAAGCATCATCATCAACAACAACAACAGCAGCAGCAACAACAGCAGCACTATCAAATGCAAACACAAATACAAACTTCCGTCACTTGATGGTACCCTCGCGATTGCCACTAAAGAGGCAAGCTACTGAATCATCCACAAATCTAGTTGAGAAACTAAAAATCCCACAACCACAAGATCAAATTCTCAGCTCTACTGCAGCAGCAGTAGTAGCAGGAGCTGCCGCTGCTTCCGCAGTCGCATCATCATCCTCATCTTTATCTACTACTATACACAAGAAATCTAGATTGATAGACTATGAATGGCAAGATTTGGACGAAGAAGATCATGATGACCCGTTGATGGCTAGTGAATACGTTAATGATATTTTCACCTATTTTTATGAATTGGAAACTCGAATGTTGCCTGATCCAAACTATATCAATAATCAAAAGAATTACAAGCCCAAAATGCGGTCTATACTAGTGGATTGGATGGTTGAAATGCACCTCAAATTCAGATTATTGCCTGAATCTTTATTCTTGGCTATTAATACAATGGACAGATTTATGTCCATTGAGCATGTAGAGCTTGAGAAACTACAATTGCTAGCCACGGGGTCCTTATTCATAGCTGCTAAATACGAAGAAGTTTTCTCACCGCTGGTTAAAAACTATGCATACTTTACTGATGGTTCATATACCGAAGAACAAATCTTGCAAGCCGAAAAGTATATTTTAACAACGTTGAATTTCGATCTCAACTACCCAAACCCTATGAATTTCTTGAGACGGATTTCTAAAGCTGACGATTATGACGTACAATCAAGAACCTTGGGGAAGTATTTATTGGAGATCACCATTATCGATCACAAGTTTATAGGCATGAAACCATCCTTGTGCTGCGCACTGGCAATGTATTTAGCAAGATTGATTTTGGAAAAAAGACCTGTTTGGAATGGGAATTTGATACATTATAGTGGAGGCTACAGAATCAACGATATGAGAGTTTGTATTGAATTGATGTTCCAATATCTACTACAACCAGTTGAGCACGAAGAGTTTTTCAAAAAATATGCCATGAGAAAATTTATGAAAGCAAGCACCTTGTGTCAAAATTGGGCTAGAAAGTTTTTTGCTGAAGAAAAAGATATATTCGATGAAAGTTTATCAACTCATCGATTATCGATTGAGTGAGATTAATATGAATAAAACAAAATAAAATACAAATACAAATACAAATACAAATACAAATACGAAAAAAACAAAAAAAAGAAGGATCAATATAACAAAATACCTTTTTATTAAAATAAAAAAAAAAAATATTAAAGGTTGTTGTTGTTGTTGTTGCTGTTATGTTCCTTTTTTTTTTCACTTCCCTATACTGGTTAAACGACTTATTACGATGCTATGACTTGTTAATTATCGAATTCTTCTCTTTTATTTGCATAACTTAATAGAGTATAACCCTTAATATATATACAATACAATTTACCTTTGATCTATTATATTAACTTGTAAGCTATAGAAAAAGCGCAAATTTCCAAAAGTAGCTAAATTGAATTATATATTTTTTTCTTTCTTTTTTTTTTTGCGCGCACAGGGTAGATTACGCCGCAACTGTATCCTCTTTAGGAAATTTTATAGATCCTTTTGCACTACCATAAAGAAAGTGCGTGTCCCGTGTCCCGAAAAAAAAAAAAGTTAAAAAGCGAAAAATCAACAAACAAAACTTGTAGGAGATTGCAAAACGCGTCTAGTTAGGGAAAGGCATTAAGGTGGCAAGAACAAGCTGAGCTGGCTTGTTATTAGAAGACAACGCTTGGTGTGAAGTTGTTGGGCTATTCCGTTCTTCCTCCTTTCTTTTTTTTTTGCGTTCTTTCTTTTCTTCTTCTTCTTTGAAAGGAAAAGATCTTTGTTGAAACTCCTGAAGTTTGTTTGTTGTTTGTTTTTTTTTTTGGTTCTATTTTTCAATATGTTTAAAGGGTCAACTTTTCTAATAATTGTGTCCCTGGGGTTAACCAAAAAGCAAGCAGACGCTCTACATGAAACCTTGACGCTATATAATGCTGAAGATGTCTTTGTTAAGGAAAGTGGTGACAAGTCGTGCAATTTCCTTTCTCCGCCATTAATAACCCATATCATCACATTAACTGTTGATTTCATCGAGTACAACCAAGCTTTAAAGTCAATGATACCAATAACTACACCAGATTGGATCCATGCATGTATATCTGAGAACAAACTACAGTCAAGCAAACCTTATAACCCGAATCCTGCATTTTTCATGAAAAAATGTTTTATATGTTGTGCTGATAATCTACCTCATGGTGATAAAGACCTTTTGTATGAGACAATAAAGGCGTTTGGTGGGAACTATACGGATGTCTTAACGAAATACACTACCCACTTGATTGCCATGGATATGACCAACGAAAAATCTCTACTTGCAGGCAGTCTCATTCAAGACGAAACGTCCCGTGATCCGGTAAAAGATATAAAGATTGTCTATCCTCACTGGATCGATCATTGTATTAGAATGGGTCAACAGTTGGATGAAACAAAGTATTTGGTTCCTGATACAGATTTGATTCATATTGACAATGATGATGGTGATGAAGGTGGCGATGGAGAAAATTTGGATACACTCTTGAATGATTCCTTGCCTCTGGATACTAATAATGACCCTTGCGAGTCAGTGGACTTCTTCAATAGAAAACAATTTTACATTAGTTCCGATTTCAATTTGTCGCAACGTTTGTCTAATGCTGTCAAGGCTCTAATTGAGAAATATGGTGGGATAATCAAAAGTACATTTGATGAGGATACAGATATATACCTTGGGCGATATCGTAGTGGAGAGTCATACAGAAAAAGTTGTCAAAAAAATAGTAGGACCATTGTTGCTAATTTTCAATGGTTTTACTCCATCGTGATAAACAAGTGTTGGGTACTGCCTTTAGATTCAAATATACTTTACTATCCAGTCCCCATTGAGCCAATACAAGGTTTCAAAAATCTCAATATCTCGATAACAAACTATAGTGGTGATGCGCGGGCATATTTGTCGAAATTGATAATCTTGATGGGCGGCTCTTTCACGAGAACTTTAACCAAGGACAACGATTATCTAGTCTGTGCCAAAGCTGAAGGTAAAAAGTATGAAGCTGCAAAAGGAAGATGGTTGAATTCGTGGGGAGAATGCGATGTTAAAGTGGTGAATCACTTGTGGTTAGAAGATTGTTTTGTTAAATGGGCCAAATTGGACGATCTGGATGAAAGGTATACAAATTTTGGAAGCTCTGTGGGGATGGAACCTTTAGTTGGTAGGGTTTTGTTGGATAAAGAGGTACTAAAAGAACAACTAGAAATTCAAAACCTCACAAATGAAACAGGAAACATCGATGATAGCATGAGTGAGGATGAGAGCACGCAATCCAGAAGACTTCTACCTTCTTCTGTTATGTCAAATATCAACAAAGAAAGTACTACTTCTCTTTCGAAAACCAAAAGTTCAACAACCACATCTCACAAGAGTGGAGATGATATGGTTAGCACAGTATCATCGCCACAAGCACCACCACCACCAATGGATGGAACTCCAAATAAGTCTGAAGCAATGCTGGATTTGGTTTCTCCTCCCAAAACCCCAAATGACTTTGCTGACCCTATTTCTGGATCTGGTAGATACGGCGGGAGATCTGCTGCGAAAAAAGCAGCAGCTAAATTGCATGATAATATGAGTGACTTAAATGCTTATCAAGAAATGTCCAAGAGTACAAGAAAAATGAAACATTATATGGACGAGTTGGAAAAAGCCACAATGTCAAAGAAAAAGCAGTTGGATGATAACACGGGTACAGTTAATGAAACAACGCCACCTGAGTCTAAGAAACAGCGTACTGAGGAATACGAGATTATAGCCATATTAACGGGTTGTGAACTGAATATTGAATTGTCGAGAAACAATTGTGCGAAACTCCAGTCTGTTGGTATTAAGATTATTAATGATTTGTCAAAACTCAAGCCAAACACATTAATAGCGCCAAAGATTCTACGAACGGAAAAGTTTTTGAGAAGTTTGAGCACAGTCGATAAAATCATTCACCCCTCATTCATTGTTGATGTGTTGGCCAATGTTGAAAACGAGAATGTTTTGAAACAGTACAAAATTCAAGATTACTCGTTAGACAAAATGAATCCTACTGCGAACTCCGATTTGGGAGTTACAGATTTGCAGTCATTGTTGAGCAACAAGACGTCTTCTCCAGGATCACTATTTGCCGATATAGAGTTAAATCTAAGCAGCAATTTGAACGGTGGAGTTGAGGTAATCTCGAGGATCTTGAAAGATCACGGTCTAAAGAATTTCAAAGAAATTAAAGCGTCCTCAGTAATACTGAAAAAGACTCCAGTTTTGAAGTGTCGTCTTGGTAATACACCAACAACAATCCTTATTGCTAACAAGACAAAAGATGTAAAGTTGATAAATAGTTTCAAGAAATCAATAGGTAATAGTTTAGTTCTAGATTGGGATTGGTGTGTCAAATCAATATTCGCGATGCACCTACAAGAGGTTGATGATCATAAATTATAGAAATACAATGATACTTTTTTCTTCTTCTCTTGAAAGAAATATATCGTACATACTGTTTGGAAAAAAAATAAGGAACAACTCTTTAAAAAAAAAAAATAAAGGTGGATGATGAAATTGAAAAGTGGGAGTTCTCATAAACACGGACATCTTTCCTCATGTAAGTAAGCCAAATCTAAATATCTATCAAGCTTGGTCCGTCGTTTCCTCTCTGTTGTTGCTGCGATTGTGCATTACCAAATCCATATCCAGTGTAAGCAACGTTTATTTTGGGAGCTTGTTGTTGTTGTTGTTGCTGGTACCCAATACCAGTATTTAAAAATGGATTACCTGTAGCGTTCGAACTCAATCTCTGTGGCTCGTTGTTAGTCTGCCTATAACCTGTCCCGCTAGAGTTGATGAAATTTTGAGTTCTAGTATGTTGATGTGGGATACGTGTTGCACCCGTGTTACCAAATGTGTCCAATCCTGTACCTTGTGTCAAGAGATCATTCAACTCGTGTGTCTCATTGAATCTAGATGATGATGTGTTCTGTTGCTTCAACGGTGCTGTAGGTTGTGTAAAGAATTGTGGCTGTGTTTGCTGCTGCTGCTGCTGTTGCTGCTGTTGCTGCTGTGAGGCTTGTTGTTGTTCCTCGGCCAAGTCATTTAATGTTTGTGTATGGGGATGAGCAGTTGTACCAGGGTTCAAAGAGAATGGGTTATTTGAACCAGTTTTCAATGGTTGTAGTTGCTCATGCTGTTGTTGATACTGAGGTTGGCCGTAATTGAAACCTGTAAATTGGTTGGGTTGGTATTGGGGCTGTTGCTGCTGATAAGCCTGTTGGTTAAAAAACCCGGTTTCCATTGGATTTTGAATTGGGTTACCAAACATGTCAAATTGTTGTGGCTGTGTTGTCTGTTGATCAAATAAAAATTGTTGTTGTGGTTGTGGTTGTGGTGGTAGTTGCTGCTGCTGCTGGTAACCAGTCTGGACTACATATAGCTGTTGAGGTTGTTGTTGGTATTGCGGTTCATCGTTCAAATCCAACAAGTTGGAATTGGCGTTTTGCTTTTGTTTCCTCATCTCTTCCTCCTCTATTGATAACTTTATTGCAGCGTCCAAATCAGGATCATTTTCTGCTTGTTTAGCACGTAATTGCTCCTCCTCAGCTGTCACTCTTGATAACTCTAAAGCCCTTTGTAAATCTTCGTCATAGGGCTCGTCTCTGTTTCTATCTCTATCTCTTCTTCCGTCCCTTCTGTTTCTTTCTCTTCCACCATACTCCCAGTCACCATCATCATCGTCGTAAGATGATCCATGACGCTTACCGCGTTTGGCCATTCTACGTTCTTGTTTCAATCTCTCATCGTCCCGCAATAAGGACACCAACTCCTTGGCTTTTACACGAATAATTGCTCCTTGATCATGATCAGCTTCATCAAAGTGAATAAACTCTCTCAAGGTCTTAATGATGTAGATGTTATCTTTGGCCCACAATACACATTTTTCCGAACCAAATCTAACCAAATAATCCAATACTGTCAAGGATTTTGCAATGTGTCTCCAGTTTTTGCCTTTGTCGTTAAGACGACGATCTAACATGTCCATTATCTCCATAAACTCTGTTTGAGACTGGTATGAGTACGACGCTATTTCTTCCATGTCATACGTGGTTGGACCCGTGGGGTCATTGGACGTTGCATTTCTAACAAGCACCTGAGCAGATGAATACTTGACATTCTTTAGAGAACGTACAATCTTAGACATTCCACTTGTTCGTTCAGCTTTCGGTCTCTAATAAGGAGAGGGATAGGGGGAGGGGGGGAATTGGAGGCGGTTGGAAAACGTATACAAAACTATTGTGAATATGACCCAAATATTGTTTAAGAAAACAATTCTTTACTATGGTCTATAAGTAATTATTGCCTCTTGAGATAATTCGAGGAGAGGGAATTTTCTAGGTGTACTTTCTCAGTGGGTGGCCTTGATTGGTGTTGAGGAGGAGTTGGTGGTGCTAGTGGTAATGATTTTCTAATTGCTTTCTAATAGCTATTCTGGATAGTTCAAAGATTCTTGGTTTGGGAAGAATGATAAAAAAAAAAAAGTACCTCACATATAATATTTGGACTTTCTACACTACCTGTATATTTTGCAACTTGTTCATGCCCTTCTTTTTGCAACTTTCTCTAAAGGTTGAAATAGAGGCGTTATATCCTTTTAGCTGTGTAAGTGACACCCGGGTTTGGTTGCTAATACTTTTGAAGATTGAAATGGTGGTGGCTTATTTTTAATTTTGTGTAAAGCAAAAGATTGGGTTAATTTTCTATTTCCAGTGAGAAAAAGAAGCTTTTTTGAACAGACTACAAAAGTTCTGTTTCGTTAGAGGACTGTTTGCTATTAGATAAAGAATCTAACAACTTATTTGTTGCGACAAAAGATGAAATTGTATAAGGTCGGCATTAAAAGTTGTTTTTTTTTTTTTTCCAGAGAATCCGCCAAGTGAACATCAAGTTTGAACCAATTATGGGCAAAATTTTAGTCCCAAAAAAAAAAAAATACATACATAAAATGAAAGTAGGCAAAGCAAACCTTTCTTTGCTATCACTATTAGAAACAACGCTCTATCTCTTTTCAAAAGATTTTGGCAAAAGAAAACTGACTACCAGGAAAACAGCAACTAGGAATCAAATCCGTCAGTACTGCTCCACTAGCGCAAGCAAAGCGAGCTAAGTGGAATAAAAATAGTCAAGTAGTGAAATTGCAAAAAAATTGAAAAAAATCATGAAGAGTACGAGATTCGAACTCGCGCGGTAGACATACCAACAGATTACTAAGTATTCTTATAACAACAGGAATTTAACCTGCTAAATAACTTAAGTCTGTCACCTTAACCAACTCGGTCAACTCTCCCAATTTCATGCAAAGCTTCAAACTCTCATACTATATATTTATAAAATGTAAATAAACACAATAACATTTTGTATCAGAGATAAAAGATCCCGTCTTTCGTTGCAACCATTAAAAAAAAAGGTCTCAGTTAGTATTGCCAAAAGCCATTGATAAGAGGCAAGGAGAATTTTTTGGTTTTTATGCCTAAAAACAGGCATCAAGTTCGATAAATGGGATGAATTATGCATTGACAATTACATCCCATTATATTCCGAGTTTCCTCCCCTTTTCTCAAATAGTTTGGCAGTTTCTTATGATACAATATTTATTTTTTGGAATTCATTCAACAAAGTCTACTAAAATCTTGAGCTATATTTTTCATATGGAAATAGCATTTGTTTAAGCGAAACTCAAAAGCTACTTCCCACCATACTTATAATAAATGGGTACACAAAGTTTAGATATATATACATTATATATTGGACGGGAAAAAAAAAATTTCGAGAAAATGGAGAGTTGACCGAGTTGGTTAAGGTGACAGACTTAAGTTGTGTGACAGGTTAAATTCCTGTTGTTGTAAGAATACTTAGTAATCTGTTGGTATGTCTACCGCGCGAGTTCGAATCTCGTACTCTTCATGATTTTTTTTTCTTCTTGAACATAAAGTTTTCTTTTGCACCCATAAGACACTATCGAGCGAAGCGAGATAGTGGAGCAATTTGACTACACTGACTACACCGACACTATCGACACTATCGACACTATCGAGCGAAGCGAGATAGTGGAGCACTCTGACTACTCTGACTACACCCAAACTATGGACACTATCTCGCTCTGCTCGATAATGTCTATCACACTCTGCTCAATAATGTCTATCACGCTCTGCTCAATAATGTCTATCACGCTCTGCTCAATAATGTCTATCATCTCGAATAAATCTAAATCAAAAACATCAACAAGTTTATCACATACATACATAAATCTATATTAAATCATAAAAAAGATGGCAATGTACTCTTAAGAAGTACTCAAGAATTTGCGATGCATGTCAATAGCATTACAAATATCCTTCCTCTTTTGTGAATCAGCAGGTGGAATTGAGTCGAGATTGATTAATGGTTCTTCACAATAACACCACCATAGGTTGTTCATTATTTTCAATTCAAAATCATACCCATCGCCTAATTCCTTTTTCAACTCTGTGCCATATAATCTTCTCCTTATTTTTTCACCCTTGTCAACAGGACCCCTTTCATCCGCAAGGAATAAGTGCTCAATATAGTACTTTGGCCAATTGGCATGAAGAAAGAATAACGAGGAGGCTTTGAACTTGTGGTATTCGTAATTGTATACATTTTTATCCTCATCATGCAACGCATATTCTTTAGGTGGTGAAGAAAAATAGCGGTTTGGTTGTGATAACGATGATGATAGTGATGCAAGACTTGACATATCTTTATCGTCAGGGTTACTCTGAATATAATCTATAATAGGGTCGTATTGTCCCATACCAAATAACTGAAGTTTTTTTTTGTTTTTATCCATTGGACCAAATTCACGAGTAAATTCGGAAACCTGATAGTAAGGTAAACCCAACCTATGTGCTGCTGCAATATATGTTTCTTTATCACCTTCACCGGCGGCACCTTGACTCAATAAAGGATAGTAAAAATCGGGTCCATAGTAATTGTAATATAGTGACAAAACAAGAGTTTTGAAATGAATTCTTTTACTGATTAATAACTGGCCAGTTTCCGAGCTTGCTTCAGGAATGGTTCCTTTAGTGTCATGAAAGGACATTTGATTCGTAGCACCATTTGAATTTAAACCTTTCAAATTTCGTTTATCACCTTCAGGATATGAATTCCGTACTTGATGATTCGGATCTACTGAAGCACTTGTGACATCATAAAAAAGTGGCGATGTCGATCTTCTCCACAAGTCTGGCCACACTACCATACCCTTATCAGTAAATGGTTTATTGGCAAACAAAATGTCTGGGTTTTTAATTGGCAAGTTATCCGCATCAAGATATAGAATATTTTCAAACGATGAAATAAAAATTGCAATATTCTTCAATTGATAACCTAAAGCTCTCATTGGATCCATATGAGGATTTTCTTTAATATCAACGTTTTTGCTGTTTTTCTTTGCATTATTGATAACTGTGTCAAAGTATGATTGGGGAACATAATCGGTCATTAATTTACATTTCCCATTTAAGGTGGGCAAAATCTTATCGCAAAATTGGATATCATATTCTTCCCTTTTTGGTACAATTACTTCAACAGGTAATATCGAGCCTTGTTCACGTAACAATTTGATAGATAAATATGCCAACTGATCGTACTTGCCACCTGCTAGATATACAATACCATCACCTTTCATGAAACTGTTAAAAGTATTGTATTTTAATAGAGATTCCGGCCATTCTTGCATCATTTGTTTCATGTATTTCGTGTGAGATTGCCTCAAGGAATCTTTTTCAAACGTGTTTAGAGTCAAATACATTGACAATACCTCTTTAGACCTAACCATTTCATTCTGGTAATTTTCTCGCAAGTGCCCACCATATATGGGTAATTTACCTTTATCATGAATTAGCCTTTCTGTATTTACATTTTTCATTTTCTCAGGAGTCATTTGGTTCAAGTTTTGATAATAGTTTTCGATTTTTTCCCCATTAGGATAATGGTCAAAGTTGTTAATTGGACTAATGATTGGTTTGCAATCTTCGAGTGTTTTCAATAAATCAATGAAAAACTCTTGAAATGCTTTAACAAACTTCCTTTCTGTAGTGGACTGCTCAACAAAGGAATGGTTGAATTGATTATCCAACAATTGATTCATGTTATCATAAACCTGTTTATTATTGTAGCTACTAATGAGTTTCAAATCGTACTTGGAGGATTTATAATCGGACTTGATAAAGTTCCAAAAATGATTAGACTTGTCAGTAGCAGTATTCAAGTTGTGTTTTTTTAAATATTTCTTAACAACAACTAGATTTGTTTGTTCATCGTGATGATATCCGATTATAGAATAGTCCTCAACTTTGGGCCTTGAAAATGGATTAAAAAATTTTAGCAAAGTAGACAGACTGTCTGCATCTATTGACGGTGTTGGTGAGGAATTCAATGCCATATAAATATTCAACAAAGTGAAAAGCAGTATACCCAAAAGGATGGCATGGGTCGGCTTGAATTTCAGAGAAGGACGACTAAGTCGAAGCATTTTGGAAAATATGGGATAATAAGGCGCAAACGAGCCAACTGGTGAAGATTGAAACTCTCCTTTAACCTTTCTTTGGTTACCTTTGGTTACCCTTCTTCAGTTACCTTCAGTTACCTTTGGTTACCTGTTTTTGGTCACCTGTTTTTGGTCACCTGTTTTTGGTCACCTCTTTTTGGTTACCTTTCTTTGGTTGTGCTGGTTACCTTTCTTTAGTTACCTTTCCTCGAGTTATCTTTTTATAGATGTGTTTCCCTGAATGGCACGATAAAGGGGATTCGGCGAAACAGCCTGTCAAAGGAAGAACAAGACCAGAAACAATAGGTCTTAGTAAATTGTGGATTTCGCCTTTTTCAACCAAAAAAAACCCTTAACAATAGGAGCAATATGAGAACAATAGCTGTTAAACAATAGCAGCTATTGGAAAAAAGAAAAATTCAACAGTAAAGTACCTAGCGAAGCAATAGCAGAGCAGCGATAGCAGCAAACAGCAGCAAACAGCAGCAGAAAAACAACAAAGCCAAACGAATCACAACGTTTCCCCTTTTCCTATGACTCAAGTTTCTTGTAACAGTGATGGCTTTTATCAAGATATTGAAAAATCTTAATCTGAAATTTTGCATTGGTAGCGGAGCTACAAATTTATAGTTTTTATTTTAAAGAGATGCTGAAAGGCAGTGCTGAAAAGCACTGCTATGTAACTGTAACTTGTAACTGTAACTATCTACTACCAATATCGACTAATCTCGACCCAGTATTGAATGGGCGTTTTGAGTAACTTTGAAAAATAAAGTTTCTTTTTGAGTAATAAAGTTTCTTTTTGAGTAATCGTTGTTAGGCACACCAGCCCTTTTGTTCTACATTGTGGTTAATCTTTTCCACCTACCAACGTTAACCTTGACTTGGCAAGGTCTAAAAAAAGAACCTGTATTTAATAACAGAAGAAAAAGGGGACAAATACAATCGAGCAAAGTTTCAATCGAGCGAAGTTTCAATCGAGCGAAGCGAGATTGAAACACCATCTCCGACTAGACGAGTGAAACGAGTCTAGTCATCACTACTCTAGACAAGTTACAACACTATCGAGTGACACTATCGATCAGAGCGAGATAGTGGAGCACACTGACTAGCTGCCACTGACTAGCTGCCACTGACTAGCTGCCACTGACTAGCTGCCACTGACTAGCTGCCACTGACTAGCTGCCACTGACTAGCTGCCACTGACTAGCTGCCACTAACTAGCTTCACTATCGAGTGTTGCTCGATAGTGGAGCAACATTGACTAGCTGCCACTGACACTATCTCGCTCTGCTCGATAGTGGACTAGCTGCCACTAACACTATCTCGCTCTGCTCGATAGTGGACTAGCTGCCACTAACACTATCTCGCTCTGCTCGATAGTGGACTAGCTGCCACTAACACTATCTCGCTCTGCTCGATAGTGTGAAATCAATTTACGCTTAATATTCAAACAAACAACTCTTTCAACTCAAATTAGTAGTTTTTTTTTGGATTCTCGTGTAAAGTGGGTCCTTCCACTAAAGAAAAGCCCTCTTACCTGCTTAATCTCATATATGCATCCACTCTTCAACTTCTCCTAGTTTCCCTTTTGTTTCCAAAAAAAAATAGATAAACAAATGGGATTAACCTTTTCAGGATATTAATCACAACAAGGCAAATAGGTTTAGAAAATTGTTAGACTTGTAGCCAATAGAGATAGATTGAAGTTTATAGAGGAGGCTTATTAGAAGAGATAGATTGAAGTTTATAGAGGAGGTTTATTAGAAGAAATGATAGTTAGCGGTTAGGATTTGGTGAATGTACCACTTGCTCGCTTCGCTCGCTAGCACTAGTGTCACTAGTCAGTGGTGCTCCACTATCGAGAAAAGCGAGATTCGTTCTTCTAGTCTGTTAACCTCTTATTGCATCTAGTATATATCCCTAATCAATTATTGTATAATTCTCTCAAGGATTCCATATAAAGCAATCTGACACGCTACCAAATAAATAACGTCTGATTATGAGACTCGTTTCACTCACCTAGTCGATAGAGAAAGAGAGCAGTCGCTAGAGAAGCTTGTCTAGAGTTATCATCTGCTGTTGGCGCAGATGATAATGTATTTTGCTTCAGTGAATGGAATATTGTCGTGTTAAACAGCCTTTTTTTCTTCACTATCTCGTGTGCAAGGATGTAATCAAACCCGTGTGTTAGTATAGCGCAGACAGTTTTTGAGAATCGCACATATCTCTCGAGCAAAGAGAGATAGTGTAGCGCAGACAGTTTCTGAGTGCTATATAGTTAGTTTCTGAGTAAGACAGTTTCTGAAAGCTAGACAGCTTCTGAGTGAGACAGTTTCTAAGTGCTATAGAGATAGTTTCTGAGTGCAACATAGACAGCTTCTGAGTAAGATAGTTTCTAAATGCTATTTCTGAGTGGCATATGGACAGTTTCTATGTGCTAGACAGTTTCCAAGTGCTATTTTTGAGAGCTATTTCTCAGTGCAGCATAGCCAGTTTCTAAGTGCTATATAGACAGTACTCTTTTTCAATTTGTATGAATATGAATATATAAATATATAGCACATATACATATAGCGCTTATATATAGCACTTATATATAGCACATATATATTTATCAATGCTCCACTATTTTGAGAAGCAAGCTAGTGTCGCTAGTCGAAGGCAGCTACAAAGTGTTTCTCCACTACCTAGTGAAGCAAGCTAGTGTCGCTAGTCAATGTTGCTAGTCAGTGTTGTAACAAGTTGGAAAGTGTTTCTCTACTATCTTGAGAAGCAAGATAGTGTTGTAACAAGGTAGTCAGTACTGCTCCACTATCTCGTTTTGCTCGATAGTGTCGCTAGTCAATATCGCTAGTCAGTGTTGTAACAAGCTACTAATGGATAATGCTTGGACTCTGATTACACTCTATTGAATAGACTCGTTTCACTCGTCTAGTCTCTTTATCTACACTCTATCAAATAGACTCGTTTCACTCGTCTGGTCTCTTTATCTACACTCTATCGAATAGACTCGTTTCACTCGTCTGATCTCTAATCTCTGTACTCTTTAGACTAGACTCGTTTCACTCGTCTAGTCTAGAACAGATGGAAATAAATAAACAACACGTTAAAATGTAATTATACTTCTGCCAAATCACATTGCCTACGTCTTAACCTTTCCAAAAGGCAAGTTTTGCGACTTTTATCATCCTCTTGACCCACTCTACCCTCGACTTTGTAGTTATCGTTTGCTTGTCAATCTCAATGATAACAAACAAAATCTTTTGTTAGTGAAATCTTTAATGATAGAAAAAAGTGATATACAAAGGTGATTCAAGGTATTATAACAAGGTCATTATTTGAGCAACTTGTACGCTTTTGTAGGCCACAGTTATACTTTTTGGGCCTCCAGTCGTTATTTGAGCAGACTTGTACGCTTTTATAGGCCCATTCAGCTATACTTTTTAAGGCCTCTAGTCGTTATTTGAGCAGACTTGTACGCTTTTGTAGGCCCACTCAGTTATACTTTTTAAGGCCTCTCAGTCACAGTCACAGTCACAGTCACGATGTCGGATGATAACAACTTATTTGATGATATAGAACAGGATAATAATCCCTCATTTTACGGTAACCCATCAATATTAACGGACCCCTATCATACGTCATCTAAATCTCATGATAAGCAAGCATCATCGACTGATGCAAGTAACAACCAGAGCAATGATAATAAAACAAGGTTACAGTTGGGTAACAACCAGAGCAATGATAATAAAACAAGGTTACAGTTGGGTAACAACAATATTGGTCACAGCAAGACTTTCCTGAACGACGAAGGGTACCCCCACGAGCTCGTCAATAGTACCATTGGCCTTTCAAATAAAATCACACAACTCTTGAACGACAAACATTTACAAATTGATATCATCAATTCCGAAAAATTGATCAACTCATCGATAATCGTATATACTATCCAACTTTTCTCCGAGGAATCTTTGAATAAGATTGTTGTAAAGAGGAGGTACAGCGAGTTTAAATCATTAAGAGATAACTTGATAAAATTGTTTCCAACTTTGATCATACCACCAATACCTGAAAAGCATTCATTCTTAAGCTATTTGCTAAACACAATTAATATAGATAACGAGTCTAACATAGTGGAGATGAGAAAGAGATACTTTAAATTGTTTCTTGATGACATTGTTTTTGATTCAAGTGAAGAGTTGAAAAATTGTCCATTGGTGCATAAGTTCTTGGATCCCAACTACGAATTGTGTTGGTATAATGCATTAAATGAACCACCAGTTAATATCATACCCAATAATCTATTACTAGCCAATCCTGTGAACCCCACTGACCAAAATGGATTATATTCAATTTTACCAATTGTCAATGGTTTCGATATCAGCACAAGCAAACAGGACCACCTTTCAAATTTGAAAAAGATAAATGACGAGTTATACAAACTAAATGATCAAATCAAATTATTTGAATTGAAGGGATTCGAACAGAATTTGAAGTTTACCATTCCTGATGAGTTGATTTCTTTTGAATTACGATTTCATAAAGTCATCAAGAACCTATCACATTTGAACAAGATTGATATGAAAGTTACCAAAGATTATAAGGGATTGATTAATATACTTGTTGACCTAGGAGGGAACCTTAACAATTTTTCACTTCAAATATATCAACAAAGGAAACATGATCTTGAGAGTGAGCGTGCACAACAGCAACAGCAACAAGAACAACAAGAACAAGAACAAGAGCAAGAACAAGAGCAACAGCCACAGCTACAGTCACAGTCACAGCAGCAACACACCCACTCACACCTACATCTACAACAAAACGACTTATCAGAAACTATTGAAAAATTTGGATCTACAATGGATCAATCATTTTTGAATTTTGAAAATTTTGTGTTCAATCAGTTAATCCCACAATGGCAAGAGCCTGTAAATCAGTTATTGCAGTATAATCAAACGGCATTAAATTTGATTAAATTTTACAAGTACAAGATCATCCAGTTTAAAGTGCTATACAAATTGAAGTTTAACAAGTTTCAACAATTGATTAATTTGAATAATATAATTGATGGCGGTAGAGGTAGTGGTAGTGGCAGTGGTGGTGCCAATGGCAACAGCAGTTTTACCTCGGCCAAGACCGACGAGGAAGAAGATGCCGTTGTTATCAATTCACTAGACCATTTGAAAGAGCTCAACTCGCCCACTTTAAACAATGCCTTAAAGAGCATTTCACTAAAGAAGGTTGCTAAAAAGTCATCATGGTATGGCTTATTTGGCGGGAACAATACGCCGAAAAAGTTCAATTTTCAATTACCTGTTGGGGAAACAACAGGAGCTACAAATCCAACACCATCCCCTTCGTCCACCTCATCAGTGACACAGTCATTTTCCACATCCCCTACATCCTCGATAAAATTCAGATTAGCTCATTTGGAAAAGGAGCTAAACAAGATAAACCAGTTAATTGAACTATGCAACAATGATATGATACAATTAACCCAAGCTATAATGAATACCTTTAACGATTTTTTGAAAAAAATGGAAAAAAAGTGGCTTGTGATTATGATAAACTATTTGAAAAATGGCAGGACTTTATTTGATGAGAATTTAACCACTTGGAAAGGCTTTAAGGAGTCCTTCCAAGTAGACACTTTGACAAGTAGCAAGGGTATGTAGGGGTAGATAGGTACGTTATTTGCATCCTATTTAGGTAACTGTCGCATTTTCTCAATGTCGTAATCAAATTCTCTCTTTGGTGGCAAACGTTGAAAAAAAAACGACGAAAAACTGAAAAATTGAAAAAAAGGCCTTGGAAGAAAGGTTTAATAGAACAGGAGGAAGGTTGTAGAGTATTTGTTTGAGGGTATTTGTTTGAGAGTATTTGTTTAAAGGTCTTTGTTTCTTGTTGGAGATGTCGGCTATGGATATTGATAGTGAGATTTCGACTGTTTTAGCCACCATAAGGCTGGAACTTGAGTCGTCCGAGTTGATTAGTTACTTTTATCAATTGGAGGATTTTTATGAACGTAGGTTATGGCATCAATTAACACAGGTATTGGATGAGTTGTATTACAAGAATCCCGGGTTAATTACATTTGAGTTGAAGAACAAAGTGTATACTTTGTTTATTAGTCAATTTCAAACCAAGTTGAATCCTACCAAGATTGTTGATTTTCTTTTGGAGAGTTTCAAACCGGAGGAGACATTAGACAAGTTGATTCAGTTACGCGTTGAGTTTGTTAACAACTTGAAAAGAGAACACAATTTCAAGGACGAAGCTGACCCTGAGTTTGTTAAGCTTGTTGAGAATGAAAATGCGTTGGTTTATATCGATTTACAAATTAGTAGGTTTCATTTACTATTGAACCAGCTAGACGAGGCAGAATTGATATTGACAAAATTGGAAAAGACCAAGTTTCAAGAATTGAACAACGACCTCAATGCAAAGACCAATGCTGCGTACTACTTGGCCAAATGCGAACTATACAAGATTTTGCAAAACTATAACGAGTTTTACAAAAACGGATTGTTGTACTTGTCCTCAACAATGACATTGAGTCAAGAGGAAAAAATCAAATTATGCTACGAGTTGTGTATTGCTGCGTTACTAAGTGACAAGGTATACAATTTTGGAGAGTTGAGGCTCCATGATATCCTAAATGAAATCCTGACTCCTGAACTGCAGTATAATTGGCTATACAATTTAATACAAAATTTGAATTCGGGGAACATAAAAGAGTACAACCACTGGCTAGCCATTGCTTTTGAGAAATCGCCATTTTTAACTACACACAAAACTTTTCTTAACCAAAAGATTATAATAATGGCGTTACTAGAATTGATATCAATCAAATCCGCATCTACCTCGATGGACAAAACATTAACATTTCAAGAGATTAGTCAATTTACAGAAACGGACTTGAACGATGTCGAGCTTTTGATAATCAAGTGTTTTTCATTAGGTTTGATACAGGGATATATCAATCAAATTGACCAAGTATTAATTGTGACTTGGTTGCAACCAAGAATCTTGCATTTGGAGCTGGTGAAAACTTTATATAACCATTTGGTTGAATGGGGCAACAAAGTTGACCAATTGGGAAAAACGGTTTACGAGAGCGGTGGCACCATCTGGGCAGGTATATAGCATCAACTTACATAAGTAGTAACTCCACTAGTAACTACACCAACTCCACTAGTAACCACATTAGTAACCAACTCCACTAGTAACTACATTAGTAACCAACTCTCCTCACTTGTAGCTCGATGGATCAATAGGACACCACTTGGTAGCATATTAATCTCCATGGTTTCTCGGAAAAAAAAAATCATCCAAAAGATTCATCAGATAAACCACTGCAAGTAATATACCCACTGTTGCCGATATCATTACTGTTACTGCCATTTTGGAAGCAAAAAAACAGGTTGACAGTGTGGAAAAATAACGGGAAAATGCATGTAGTAAGTTTATTTCTATTACTTGCTACGGCCCTTGCGAATTTGGCCAGATTTGATGATGATAACCATTCTCAAGTATGTTCAGGATTATATTCTAAAAAAGATTGGGGAGGGTCACTCAAACCGCATATTGAGATTACTTTGAATCAATTCGGTGATCACAAGTATGATTTCAAGAAACTGGGCCTGGAGAAAGAGCAGCAGGAACAGGAACAGGAACAGTTTGATGATATATCGGTGAGTTTTATTATTTTTGAGTATAAGGATCTTGTCAATATTGGTGCCTATAATGAACAGTTGAAAGAATATATTCTCGTATGCGACGACCGTGCTATTAATGAGTACAAGGTTTGTAATCCTGACCAAAGAGGGCAATTTGTGGTCAATTCGAATTCAACCAATTCCACTATTTTGTCATCAAAGTTGACGCAGTTGGGACCGGCTAATATACATTACCCAATCAACCGCACTGGGTATTATTGTATCTCAACATTTACTACTGTTTCAGACAGTAAATATGAAGGCATAATCAACTTTCAAAATGCATTTGGCCAATTGAGTGCTAGTGAAATACCGAAATTGCCGGCCTATGGTATTTTAACGTTATGTTACGCTATAACATTGGTATTATTTGGATTTCAATTTTTCAAAAAAAGAAAAGAAAATCAGATTTTACCGTTACAGAGATACTTATTGGCCATGTTGGGATTTTTGACGTTTGACACATTGGTGATTTGGTCATATTACGATTGTGTTAATAGAGTTGAGAGCCCAACTAATGGACTTGTTAGAGCTTATATGGTGTTCATGGCCATTTGTAATGCAATAAAGATTACATTCTCATTCTTTTTATTGCTTTGCATTTCATTAGGTTATGGAGTTGTAAAATTGAAGTTGAGCAAGAAGACTATGTTTTGGTGTAAGATTTTGGCTGCTTGTAATTTTGTATCGAGTTTGATTTACTTGATTTTCAACTATTATGGAGGCTCGTCCAGTGCAATTGTTAATACCAGTAGCATTGACGTTGCCGAAGCTGGTGGATTTTTGGGCTTGTTACCATTGATTCCTATATCGATTGTGTTGTCCATTTACTATGTGACTATATTATCATCGCTTAGAAAAACAACTAGCAATTTACATCAACAAAGACAAATCATAAAATTACAGTTGTATCAGCATTTATACTACATTATACTTCTTGCTGTGGCTTTGACATTCCTTGGACTAACCTTGAGTACATTCATTTACCTCAGCATGTCAACAACTGATATGTATGAACAGCATTGGAAAGGTTCTTTTTTCATCTTTGATTTTTGGCCAAGTGTTGTTTACTTTTTTGTATTTTTGATCATTGCTTGGTTATGGAGACCCACCGAAACCAGTTACATGTTGGCTGTCTCTCAACAATTATCAACTGGTGAAGAAGGTATTGATGATCCAGACCACCCAAATTACCAACAAGGGGGCCTTAATGAGTTTGAGTTGGATGATTTGTCACTCATGAGTCATGACGAAGAGGAAGTGGAAGATGAGGATGGAAATGCAGAAAATGTATTGGGAAGGAATAGAATTGAACGTGATAGTTTAGAGTTGGAAGACGTTAAGCTGAAGAAATCGTCTAGAAATAATGATCAAGGATCATCTACTACAACAACAACAGCAGCAACAGCAGCAACAGCAGCAGCACCACCAGATTACGAAGAGGTAAATCACGGGGATGTGCCGTCTGGGGATAATGGAGTGACACTATTTGATATAGGAGAAGGGGACGAAGATAGTGAAGCTGAAGAAGATGACAGGTTAAAGAAAAATATTTAATAAAAAAAGAAATAAGAGGCTGGTAAAAGAAACCGGAGGCTGGTAAAAGAAACCTGAGGCTGGTAAAAGAAATAGGAGGCTGGTAAAAGCAATGTTGAGCTGTTTGGGCAGCTGCTTTATATCGAGAGAGAAGGAGGGAATGGAATATATATATACATACATATTTACATATATACGGTGTCTTTTTTGGATGTTCTAAAAGAATCTTTCTAAAGCAAGACTATAGGGAGGTAAGGGGGGGGAGGGGGGAAGAGTCATTTCTCATTTGTCTTGCACTGTTACGCTATAGGGAAAAATATGAGCCAAGATCCGCCGAACCTAGACCCAGATGATTGTCAACTACGACCCCGGTTCTCGGTTTCATCTCGGTTTCATCTCTTTTCATTATCCCACAATGTTCTTGCCCGTACCCATCTCCTTGCCCATTCATCGTCCCGTACCATCTCTTTGCCCATTTATCGCCCCGTACCATCTCTTTGCCCAATTCATCGCCCCGTACCATCTCCTTGCCCAATTCATCGCCCCGTGCTTCGTCTCAGTCGAGGATTTGAAACAAAATTGTAACACGCACTACCCAACCAGAAAAAAAATTATGAGACACAAAAAACGTCCACAATTTTTCCTTCGATGAAGAGATTCTTCTTTTCTACACTAGTACTAATTGGGTTATTCGGGCTTCTTTAAATCTTTGCTGGCCTTCAGCTCACTGCAAAGAAGAGTTTATTAAAGCTGCAACAAGGTGGTTTATCCCTGTGGAAAAAGCTTCTTTTCTTCTTTTTTTTTTGGCTACGATTATTAGTGAAGAAGAGAAGAGAGGTATATAACAAGAGAGAGAGTGTGTGTGTGTGGAACGATAATTTTATTTTGAAAAGATGACCCTGCAAGGGACCAACAATGCACCAGATTTCGATATTGGCACTAGATACTCACCAAATTCAAGGCTGCTGCATTCTAATGAAGCTTATGAACGTAAGAAACGAAAACTTGACTCGCTTTTGTCACTGAGCGGGGCAAAAGTATCCAATGAAACTGCAACTTTTAATAAGTTATCAAGACTTTTATCGCCGCCAGCTACCGAAGAGGTGGTCAGTTACAGATATAGAGACGTGTATGAGAAACTTGAGAAACTTGACAAACAAGCTGGCAATGTTGGTGCCACAGATGCACCAAATGTGGCGGCGGAAGTGGTTTATAAAGAAAGAGTAAAGGGAAAGGAAAAGGAAAAGGAAAAGGAAAAGAAGAAGAAAAATGAAGGCCATCGAATAATATCGATGTCCTCATCAGATCGACAAGTGCATACAAAGAGAACCGAGAAAAATAGTAAAGATACTCGAGCTGGAGCAAAAATCGCTGCCGGAAATTTGGTAACTCCAGATCAATCAGATACAGATAAAGGCACAAGTGAAAGTTTGCGTCTTTTGGCAATTCCATATATCACAAATTTCCAACAAAATGCAGAGTTGAACAAAAAATATCGTCAATATTTACGACAGGAGGGTGCTGGCGCTTTTCTTCGGAAATTCTTAAAGGAAGCCTTGACTAAGGAGGATTTGGTGAATTTAATATTACATCTTGGTTATCCCAAGGAGACAGTGATGGACTACCCACTATTATCTGTTCAAGAGTTGAGCCAGTTATTAGTGCAGTTGATTTTAACTGATCCTGTAATAACAAAGGGAAGCACCGACTATTCACTACTGGACTTTTTAACTGATTTACAAACAAAATCAAAAATTCTTATAATTACTGGTGCAGGAATACTGACATCATTAGGTTTGCCTGATTTCAGATCACATCATGGTCTTTACCACCAATTGAAAAAACTAAGTCTTACAGACCCTCGAGAAGTTTTTAACTATAGTACTTTCTTAGCTAATCCTCAGATTTTTTACTCAATTGCACATTTGATATTACCACCTGAAAATAAACTAAGCTTACTACACTTGTTTTTGAAAGTTTTGCAAGATAAAAATAAGATGCAGAGACTATATACTCAAAACATTGACAACTTGGAAACTCGAGCAGGTATAACTAAAGATAAACTCGTCCAATGTCATGGCTCGTTTGCTCAAGCGACTTGTTTAACATGCGGAAGAGTTATAGACGGTAGAGACATATTTCAACACATTTTGCTCCAGCAAGTACCTAGATGTTATCAATGCTGGGAATCTGTTGAAGAAGAAGCAATGAATTACGGGATTATCAAACCAAATATAACTTTTTTCGGAGAAGATTTGCCTAAAGAATTTGATGAGAAAATACCAGAGGATTTAAATACCTGCGATTTGATAATTATTATAGGCACATCTTTGAAAGTCGACCCGGTAGGAAGTATCATTGACAAAGCTCCCCCCCATGTGAAAAAAGTACTAATTAATAAGGAACAAATTCCGGATAGGGGATTTGACTTAAGTTTGATTGGATATTGTGATGATGTGGCTTCGTACCTTATTTCTCTATTGGGGAAAGAATGGCATATTGATCATCCAGATGTACGTGATGGAGAGGCATTTAAAGTAGCTGCTCGCGTGGGTTCTACAATCAAGATATCAAGAGAAAGTACCCAATAAATGAGTAAAGTAAATTAAAGAGGTAGATATAGTTTTTTTTTTTTTTTAATTGTTTCATTCTTAATGTAAATTTTTTCTTTATTAACAAATGTAGTAGCTAAAAGTTATACACTTTTACAGAAAGAGCGTTAAAAGCAAAAGGGAAGGGATGAAGAGAGTCTACAGCAAGGAGAAGAGGGGGAAGAGTGGAAGGTGATGAGGGCGTTACAGTAAAAGCCTAGTTTTTGCTTAAATTTCAACTCAGCTCAGCTCAGCCCAATTCTTCCAACCTCTTTGAAAGTTTCATTTCAACTTCACTCCAATTATCAGTCAATCTAGTGTAAAACTCAATTTGTTTATCACATAAACCAAGCATCGAATTTTTCAATTCAATCTTGTTAAATTTATCCCAGTATGGGTATTCCTCATTAATAAATTTAGTTGTAAAGTCATTGATCAATTTTGTCTGCACGGTTATTTCGTTATCAAGTTGGGCAATCTTACTTTCTAATTTATGTATTTTATTCTCGGTCGATGTCGATCCCATATATGGAGTTGCTGAAGTTGATATAGTATCTTTTATCAATTGAGTTGTATTATTCACGATTCCTCCTCCGCTACTTTGATGTGCTGTACCTGGATGACTATGTGGTGCACCCGTTGTATTTTCCAACTCGTTCCTGCTTTTGTTCAAGTAATCTTGCAACACCTGCAAGTCTATGCGTTTATTATGTTGCAACTCAATCAAGTTGGTTAGACTGATAATATACTTTGAACAGTCTTTTAACAGAACGAGGAACGACTCGTCCAAGTATTTGTGAAGCTCATTCCAAGAATTCAGGAAAAAGTCCAATGACTCGGCAAACACTTTAAAATTCGACGCCATTGATAATTCCTCATTGCAATCTTTTTGAAAAGTGGATATTTTTTGAATTTGATTCAGAAATTGTTCGTAATCAGTTGTAAGATCTCGATTCTTTTTATTTAGTTTGATAAAAATTCGATCCAATTTAATCAAGTTTTCGTAAAGTTTCTTTAACTTGTCATTTATCTCCAATATCTCTCGATTGGTTTCTTTCTTGTGCCTTGATGAGGTTAGGAAATTCATCACTTTTTCAGTAATAAGATCTTCATTTACCATCTTGTTGACTATTCCACCCAGTTGATCTCCATTCAAATTCAATTCTTTGATTTTGAGCGATGTTGTGAATGTGTTCCAATCACTAGAATCGCTTATGAAAAGGTGAAATATAGACAGCTGTGATAACTCTTTGTGATGGTAGATAAACCTTACGAAGCGATCCAACGAATGCAATCTTTTGTGAACAAATTCATGACTAAAAGTATCTCCAGTGAGATATTTAATATTCAGCTTTGATGGTAAAGGTGGTATCATGACAGTAGGAAAATCATTTATCAAGCTTTCATAAAAATACCTGAAATCTCCATATCTTCTACGGACACTAAACGTGAGATACTGCTCTCCCTTTTTTATTGCTTTTTCTTTTGTGAGTTTTAGAACTGAGGGATTATTGGTGGTTGTGGTGACTAAATATGAGATAAAAGGTTTAGAGGATGCATCCAAGTCACGAGTTGGATGGCTAACAGACACCTTAATCGTGTATTTGTTAAAGTAAGATGTATTGTCAGTAGGTTCTGTAGTTTTGGAAAGCCCTAAAGTCTTATCTATGATTGGTTGATTCACTGTACTTGACTCTTCTGTATGTTCAAGTTTCAGACTTGCTGGTGGTGGTGGTGCTAGTGAATCAAAAGCACCAGTTGAAGCAGGGGCAGGAGCAGGGGCAGGGGCAGGAGCAGGAGCAGGGGCAGGAGCAGGGGCAGGAGCAGAAGCAGCAGAAGCAGAAGCAGAAGCAGAAGCTCCCGCAGGAGCTTCTGCTTCTGCTGCTGCTCCTGTTTCTACTTGACCCTCCTGGCTGCTACCTTTGTTTTGTTTCGTCTCAACTCGCGACAACGTCTCATTAGAATCTGCCATGTTTGATGATATCATAAGGGAATTGCTAGGATCACCAGCACCTTCTTCTTCAGCTGCTACCCCAGTACCGGCCGTCACATCAGAAATAAACCCCCCTTGATACTCATCACCAATTGTATTTTTCTCTAGCTCAAGCTTCTTGCTCAATGTTGCGTATTTAGCGTCACTCGGCTCCTCCTCCTCAATGGCATCATGTATATCAGCAATTCGAGCAATCGAGTTTTTACCCACATCTTCTCTATCCCACTGAATTGACGTAAATTGATCTTCAGAACTCATTCCACACACCTCTTTGCATTTGTATTGCCCTTCTCTGACAACTTGCTACTAATGGGAAAAACTTTGAGTGGCAATTCCCAAACAAGAAGAGAGTTTCTAAGTAAAGTCTGTTTTTTTTTTTCTTTCTTTATCTTTGGTGATGATAACAAAGATATACATTTTTTTTCTCCTCTTGTCTTTTATTCTCGTGTAAAAATGTTTATTCCTGGTAGACAGATAGGAACCAGTATAGTTTAAACAGATATATATATATATGTATATATAAAGAAGTTGCTATAAAAACAATGTACATAGATAGAAAAACACACATTGGTAAACGCCACAGAAAAAAGTGGTTTCTCTCTATAACACTAACCAGACACAAGAACCAATTAGAGAGGCGCCGATAACAGCAGTGATGATTCCTGCACCAGCTTTATCGCCTCCATCCAACTTCAACGGAGACGAATTTGTTGCAGGTGTTCCATATCCACTTGCAGGATGAGGCACTGACGATCCACCGTCTTCTGCAGTATAAGGTGGAGGTCTTTGATCCGACATTAAATTTTGCATTACTTCCAATGCACTCATTTGTTCTCCCAAACCGTAGTACAGATCCCAACCAACAGTCCAATTTGTCCAGGAAAGACCACATGTGTGTCCGTCCGTTCCTCCAGTACACGAGCCAGCAGCTCCGTTAGCGGAATCAACCAACCATTTTCTAATTGTCGAGTATGTATCTGGAACTAATACTGAGGTGAGTCCCAAAAATCTAGAAAAAAATGCTTTAAAGGATCGTTGATCATTATTGCAGGTATAATGGGGCTGACATGCAGCTTCATACATCACCATGCTTCCCGTTTTATTCATAAAAAAGATTTGAGCACTTGTTAACAAGTGCCAAGTATAATTGTACCATTTTTCATCCTCAGTATAGTTGTAAAGGTATGCGCACCCTGCCAACATTAATCCCTGGTTGTATGTCCACTGGTATTTGGTAATATTTGAACAATTGTTGTCAATTTTTACACCATCGTATACATACCAAGCATTGCCCTCGGTCAACAATCCCACACCATACATCCAGTCCCAAACGCGCTCCGCCCATTCCACATATGAATCATTCCTAGTGTACCTGGCCAATCTCGCTGCCAAGTGGAAGAGACATCCATTAGAAACCGAGTTTTTATAATCATAACCCGAGTTCCATTGGAAAATCTGCCATCTCAATCCTCCATTACAATCGGCAAGATCCCATCTCGTTGTCATTGTATTGAAAACAGCTTGAGCTAATCCCAACCAACTCAATTTATCATCATCTGGATTACTGAAATTTCTCTCTGCTGCTCCCATCACGGCTATACCCCAAAATCCTTGATCATCATTACCTTCTGTAGTACTCTGATTCAATGGGATATAGTTGTTGTCGTTACCAACCTGATAAAGTAAAGCTTCCTTGATCAAGGGAACATATGTATCATTTTCAAAGAAAAAGGTATAGTCAATCATTGAACCCCAAGCACCACCAGCTTCCCACCAATAATAAGGATAAGTAAACTCACCAATCGTTCCACCATATTTGGTTCCTTCGTAGTAATCTAGTAAACCATCGGCAATTAACGCACAGGCGTCTCTTATCGACGAAACATGATTAGTATCCAACTTTATTGCTTGTATTACCGAGACCAGATAGATAAGCAATGATGATACAGTAATTAGTTTCATACTGGGTTTTGAAAACACAAGAGACAATAACAAGATTTCTTTTATCCTAATACACTTGCTTTTAAGAATACGTCTCTCTTGGAAAGGGTTTTAACGCCAAGATCTATTCTTCTTTCAGATCTCGTGCCAGAAAATGGAGTTTTCGGGGAAACTATATTATTATTCTTATTGTATCATATTTTTTTTCTTCTATTTTTTTTCCTTTCAATCGCACAGTAAACTAATATTTCAGTTTTATATATATATATATATATAAATAGTGAAGTAAACCACCTCATTTCAGTCAGAGATTTCTTTATTTATCTGCAATATGTTTCTCTATATACTTCTTGTGTCAGGAAAGTACCTACTAATTATGGTATTGCGCAATCATAGTTATTTATGTGTGTGTGTGCATGTGTGTGTGTTTCCCCCCTACCGCCTATCCTCTGTTTCTTCAAAATGACAATGTATCTCTGCCAACTAATAAAGCTATGTTTCAAAGACAGGGTCCAAAATCTCAAGTGCAGACTCTTTCACTAAAAGTGGTTTGGATTCTAGTAAAGTGTCTTGCATGTCATCTTCAATAGATTCGCGCTCTTTTTCTCCAAGAAAAGGTGTTTCCTCCTGACTTTCTAAAACGTGTTCCTTTTGTGTCTCTAAACCCACACCATCTTCATCACTAGTTTCAGAGTCATTTTCTCGTTCATGTTCTTCATTTTCCTCAATTGCTCCATGTTCCTCATATTTCTCAATTGCTCCATGTTCCTCATATTTCTCATGTTCCTCATATTTCTCATCTTGCTCATTTTCTCCATTTACTTCAGGTTCTTCTTGTTTTTCATGTTTTTCAGCACTAAGAACAGTGGTCCCTGTTGCTGCCTTATCCTCATTATTGCCTTCGTCCTCTTTCTCTTCCTCTTTCTCTTCCTCTTCCTCCTCCTTGTCCATCTCCACTTCCATCTCCATCCCCACCTCTTCTTCTTCTTCTTCTTCTTCTTCCTCTTCCTCTTCCTCTTCCTCTTCCTCTTCTTCTTCTTCTTCCTCTTCCTCTTCCTCTTCTTCTTCCTCTTCTTCTTCTTCCTCTTCCATATTTTCAAAATTGATAAAATTTCTGATAAACTCCTCTTCAGATAGCTGATTGATATATTGCATTAATTCATCTTCAACATGTTCTTTGGTTTGCTCCTTTAATGCCCTATAAACAAGAAGACCCGTCTCACGATCATGTTTTAGGGTACCATTACTTTCTTTCAATTGTTTCAAGATTCTGAAAACCGCGCGTTTGAGGCTCGGCATGTCCTTTTTACTACTACTGGGTGCATTCAACGAGTAACTGACCTTGATTGTGATAATATTTAGCTTCTTGTGATAACTTAGATTAATTGAAGAGCTTTTGATACTCAGTGGTTTTTGAAAGTCGTTCGATACATGATCACTGGTGTCAATATAATGAAAGTGTGATCTTAGAGTACTAGTATATTTGTAGTCATGTACATTGCTTGACTTTTCTTCCAAATTCAACGACATCGACGCCATTATTGGATCAACATATAGGGATTTTAAGTTCCTCAACAAGTTAAGCCTCGATTGTTTCTCACTAAGTTTCACATTGTGATAGCTTTGATGTTGAGTTGCACACGGTTGAGACATTTCTCTGGCAAACTTTTCATTTAGTTCTTTTAAAAAGACTATATTCTTGACATTTTCGTTTTTCCCCATTTTATCAAGAATACGTAATATGAATTGCTGTAAATCGTGAAACACGTTTTTATAGTTGTACGGATTGAACCCGTTTGCTCCTGCTACTACTTCCTCGCCGTCTTCGTTTCCTAGTTCCAAGAGCTCTTTTACAATATTTTCTTGCTCATCGGCAATCTGCATATCTACTGAGACTGGAGTAGGTAATGATATCAGTTGATTAGTAACTGCCGCTGCTGAAGTGGTGGTGGTGGTGGTAGTGGTGGTGGTGGTCGGGGTGGTAGTAATGGTGGTAGGGTATGCATGATGAGCTTCATTCAGCCGAGTAACAGCAGCTGCAGCAGCTGCTGCCGCCGCTACTGCTACTGCTGTGGTAGTTGGATACTCATGCTTGGCCACTCTTGCATTTAGATTGTTTTCTTGGTAATGGCGCATATCACGATGCAATGATTGTCGAGGTTTTCTTGGTTTTTCAACTCGATGGTGCGAGTTGGGCAAAGACTTGGGGGGTTGTTCGCTTCCATCCGGATGCATTGTCATTTGATATTTGGTCCCGTTGGGTGAAGTTGTGCCCGATGATACCACTATATCATCTGTATTAATTGAAACCACCGGCGGCACGTAATTGGGATCATTTAGCACTTTTGCTATTTCAACGTCATAGTTAAAAGGCTTGTTATGGTACCTTTTGAAAAATTCGTCTTTCAATAACCCTTCTTCTTCTATATAGTTTTCCGTTGACTGCTGTTCTCGAAATTGCTTCAACCCATAAAGCATAGTTTCTTCAGCTAGAGGCTTTCGCAGATTTTTCTTGTTTCTCTCTATAATACGACATTTGGCGCATGTCTTATACTGCCTCACCTCCAACGGTTCGTCCCCTAATCTCTTTCTTTTGCACCTCCGGCACCTTCTAATATCAGCTCTCATTTTTAATTTCTATATAGAAAAAAAAAAAAAAAAGCCCAAAATTTTGTCTTATTATGAGCCCACACTGGTATAACCTGGTACTGGTTAATGTTGCGCTATTTTGCCCTGCTATTTTGTTCAGCTATTTTGCACCTGCTATTTTGCCCTGCTAGTTTCCACCTGCTAGTTTCCACCTGCTAGTTTGCACCTGCTATTTTGTACCTGCTATTTTGTACCTGCCAATTTGTACCTGCTAATTTCGCACCCTGCTAATTTCGCACTCTGTGAACCACCAATATATTTGCAATAGTTTTAACTCACCCTTACTTAACGTATAATAAGCAGCAAGTCTTTTTTTCTCTCTCACTTCTCACACACACTCTCTCTTTTACTCGACTCACTGCGAATATGCAAACTTTTTTATCCAAAGCTTTCTCGGTTTTCTTTCGAAAAAAAAATTTGTTACTTTGATTGATGGATATGGGAAAAAAGCGCCCTCTTTTTTTTTTTTTTTTTCTATTCAAGGCGAGGTACTGTTATATAACCAGAACCTCTTAATTTGCTTAGTTGATTGATTCGTTCGCTGGAAAAGGCAGTTGGCTAGAGGAAATAAAGTCAATACTATCTCTTTGATGAGTTTATAGTTAGGATGACGTTGTTTTTTTTTGTCTTTTTTTTTTCTTTAGCCTTTTTTTCCTTAAAGCTAAAAAAAAATTTATTGATAAGTCACGTGAGACGAAATAAGCTTAGTTCCTCAAAGGATGAGGACCAACTCACAAAGAAAATGAGTTTATGAAGTTATTCATTTTAGTAGCCTCGCCCCATTTGTGATTAATGACTGATTCTGAAACCTGGCACCATCAGAGAGAACAGATTTTGCAGCCAAAACCTAAACGTTGTTGGTTTTTTTTTCCTGAAAGAATCAAAAGCGAACGAGCATATTTTGCAGCCAAAAATAAACGAGAAAACTTTGACACTATCGACACTATCGAGCAGAGCGAGATAGTGGAGCACACTAGATGCTACTGAATCTATCGACTCTATCGACTCTATCGACTCTATCGACTCTATCGACTCTATCGACTCTATCGACTCTATCGACTCTATCGACTCTATCGACTCTATCAACACTATCTCGCTCTGCTCGATAGTGAATTTTGTTATAACCTGCAGCATGCATAGATATCAATCTATATTAGATTTAAATGTAACATATTATTCTATAACAAGTTGAATTATACTTTTTTCCCATTCAACATAATATACAGATGTGTTACAAAATTCAGATTCTTGTTTACTATCTATTAAATACATATTACTTTGTAAACTTCTATTTAAATCATTCCAAATTCCTCTTCTACAATGTACAATGTACATTTTTATGTCATCATTAGTTAACCAGCATAATTGTCTAAATACTTAGGCGCCTAGCTGTTTTTTAATGATGACATTTTTATCAACTTTATTCATCTCAAAATAATACTTCATTTAGTGCAAAAAAAAAAATCATGAAGAGTACGAGATTCGAACTCGCGCGGTAGACATACCAACAGATTACTAAGTATTCTTATAACAACAGGAATTTAACCTGCTAAATAACTTAAGTCTGTCACCTTAACCAACTCGGTCAACTCTCCATTTTCTCAATTTTTTTCCTCAAGCTTTTTACCACACTATAAGTACGTAATCAAACCCGTGTGTATAAGTACGTGATATTTCATAGGCATCACAACTATCAAGTTATACAAGTAGAGCACCTACAAGTCCCCAATTCATTTGAGTATATTTATTATCGGAAAGTCGAAAAGAAAAACAACAACTATAAATAGACCGGGTTTCTTGTGCCAGCAGTGCCATTGTCAAACTTCTCTATTAACTTTGATGGCAGGTGGACGTTGTTCTTTTAAAGTTTGGTTTCGGATTTTTTAACAATCACTTGGTAATGAGCCAAATCCTGTTCAGTGGTACATGATCCACCACATACCACTATTACCAAGATATCATCCTTTTGTAAGTGTGGAAGCGCTTTAAATAATAGATCCAAACGATTGTAACAAACGGATAAAGCTGCACCGCAAGCTGGCTCCACTACTTCATTATTATATTTTTTATAGGCTACGCAAGCTCTTAACGAATCCATATCGTCTATTGTCTCTAGTTTTGAATTGATTCCATTTGATTTTGTTTGGTAGTATTGCAATGATTGTTTTGTTGTATACGAGCACGCCAACGATGTAGCAAGGGAGTTAATTTCATTCAATGTAATTATATTGTTTGCCTTGATTGATTCGTTCAATGTTGGTGCTTGTGCCGTTTCAATTAGCAATATATCACCTTTAACCAAATTGTTAACCATTCCCTGGTATATCCCATTGTACAAACCGCCACCACCAAAAGAACATACAAACCCTTTAAGTTTATCTATATCATTATCACCTATTTGTTCCACCACTTCATCTACTATTGAAGAGTGACCTTCCCATATATGAGGGTTATCAAAAGGATGACAATAAATGGGAAATACTGCATCACCAATATTACTCATCAAAGTTTTCAAAAACTGATCAGCCTCGTTTATGGATCTACCTTGAAGAACAACGCTTGCTCCATAGCCTTTGAGTTTCTCTATAATGATTGGTTTCGCAATTGTGGGGATAACAACAGTGCATTTTACATTGTAGAACGCAGCCAGATACGCGGCTGCCAATCCTGCGTTACCACCGCTCGAAGCAAAGAGATGTATCTTATCCAAGGTAATACCTTGCTCTTGAGCTTTTTCAATTGATCGTTTAACAAGATGACCTATTCCTCTCAATTTGAAACTGCCCGAAGGTTGTTCATTTTCGTTTTTGAAAAAAATACGACATGGCGGTGCCATTGGTAGCAAATGTGTTACTTCTTTCAAACTTGTCTTTACATGTGGTGATCTTAATCTGGGCTCTGGCTGCAAATTGACTAGAGACATGTTGAAGTCTTGAGACACTTTGCAAATGTTGAAGAATTTACTTGTTCAAAAAAAGATAAGGAATTGAATCTACTACGTATACATTTATATATATATATATACTACAGAATCCATGGCAAAGGGGATTAAACTACTTACCCAGCGCTACATTTCATCGGTTATATTTGAATCAGATAAGAAGGAGTTTTGACAGGAAGAGAAAAAAAGAATAGAAGTTAAAAAAAAAAAAAAGAATTGCCTCACATCGCATCCGCGTTAGTAAGAAGAAGTCAACTGAAAAAAAAGTTGACTTCTTCTTAAGAGCCTCCCTTAGATGTTAAAACTTTCTGTGACTCCGACTGAGAGGAGATACATGGGGAGGGGAGGGGAGTTAAAGTAAGAATAAATAAGATCATCGTTTCCACAGTTTAAGTAAATAGATTATGTAAATCCCTTCATTAACCGAAGTTTGACCATAAGTTACTTTCCTAACCGAATAATGGGTTACTCGAGTAACCATAGTTTGCAAATGGGTTACTCAATTAACCATAGTTTGACCATAGTCACTTTGCTAACCAAAGTTTGGCTATAGGGTTACTCCACTAACCATAGTTTGGCTATGGGGTTACAGTTTGTCAATGATGACTTTTCCCCATGAGTCTGAAAATTTTAAGCCACATATCTTGTCCAGGTTAATTGTAAATTATGCTAATCTCTATTAAATCAATCTTTATTAGACCAAACTCTGTTGAAACCGAATCTCTCTCCTTTTCTTTTCTCCTTTTCTCCCTTTCTTCCCTTTCTTCTCTTTTTCCTCTTTTTCAGCAAATCAAATATACAAGCTTAACAACAGCAAATGGTAACTAGTCAATGACTGACACTATTGGGCAGAGCATGATAGTGGACCAACAATGACTGACACTATCGGGCAGAGCATGATAGTGGACCAGCAATGACTGACACTATCGGGCAGAGCATGATAGTGGACCAGCAATGACTGACACTATCGGGCAGAGCATGATAGTGGACCAGCAATGACTAGCCAGACTGAATAGTGGTATCGAGTAGTCACGCGAGGAGGTGTTGACTAGATAGTGTCCCTAGTCAATGTGCAACACTATCGAGCAGAGCGAGATAGTGTTGCTCGATAGTGTTGCTCGATAGGGTTACTCGATAGTGTAGAGTAGAATAGAGTGCAACACTATCTCGCTCTGCTCGATATTGTTGCTCGATAGTGTAGAATAGAATAGAGTGGAACACTATCTCGCTTTGCCCGATAGGGTTACTCGATAGTGTAGAGTAGAATAGAGTGCAACACTATCTCGCTCTGCTCGATAGTGTTGTCCGAGAGTGTTGCTCGATCGTGTTGCTGTAAAGCAATTTAGCTGCGAAAAAAGATTGCGAAAAAAGAGCTCATCGTTTAAAACATAAAGAAACTTTTTATATAAAGAATTTAAGAAATTTAAATACATCAATACGAGTTTTGGACTAGATATACAAGCACAAAGATCCAGCTACTATTACTGAGTTCTTCCAAAAATCATCAGGCATTATAAAAGTGTGGTTTTGTGTTTGATCAAACCCGTGTGTTATTAAGGGTTCTTTTTTTCTTTCTATTATTCTATTCTATTGTTCTTTTCTTTTTTCTATTCTTTTCTTTTAAGGAACCCCCAAAAAGATTATTCTAATCTCAACTCAACAGAGGTTCAGAGGTTATCTTTGTTGTTTTAGAGTCAATGCCGTCACCGATCTGGATATCAAATAGTTCAGGGTATTTTTCCATATCAATAATAGCACGTAGTATAGAGCTTACGACGGCATCGATATTCAAATCATTGACCAATCTGCAATTTTACACATTTGACAATGTTCATATTTTTTTCAAGTACTTGGTAATATCATTGCTACTATATGCTTTCCTTAATGGACCGCTATATTTGAGTAAACTTGTTATTTTACAATTTGGTTATATGGGTGATCAAGTGCAATTCATTGAAAAACTAGACACTTTTTTCAGCTTGTATTTCAATTTGAATGTGTTTTGCATGACGCTATATCGGTTCTTTGATCCCGGTTTTGAAGCTTTGTTTTTGATGAATTTGAAGCATACGGACTCAATAAACAAGACACGGAATTGTGAAAATTATTTACAGTTGCCCGATCCTAGTGTAGTCTATCCTGATTACTATACTATACGACATTTACTCAAGTTTTCAAGAGAGTTCAAGTCATTTACAAGGAGATATGCAAACTACTACTTGTTAAATTTGGTCATTTTCAGTTGCATTTACTTGTTTCCTTCGAAAATCTCATTCACTATATTGTTGTTCATTTCGTTCCAAACCTTTATGAGTAAAATAGGAACAATGTTTGCCATATTGCTGGTTGCTTTATTACAAATGATGGATTATCGTTATACTGCAGTAATATTGATTGTTTATTATGGATCGTGCAATTTGGCTGAAGATTTACTAATCCCCTATTTTGAAAGGCTTCAGTTCACTCTTGTTGAGCAGAAACAATGGATAAACACCCGCAAAGGTGTCCTTTTTGGAATTGGGTTGAGTTATTTTATAGCAATCCAAAGATTTCCTTTGATTTCTATGATTATATACTCAAATGCTTTTTTCAACATGGGGTACATTATTACAAAGATTACTAGTCAAATCCCCAACAATACAAAAGAATTGGCCACTTGGACAATCACAGAGAGTGTTTGGGATGGGCAAAAAAGGTTGATCAACAGAAGGGGCTAACAATATAAATATACTTTAGATTAGAAACAAAAGAAGAAAAAAATAAGAAAAGAAAATATAGATAGTTATACATAAAGAATAGATAATGTCTATAAGATGAGCATAAAAATGTTATTATTGTTGTTGTTGTTGTTGCTGCTGCTGTAGTTATTGTTACTGTTCTTACCAAGCATTGATGCATACGTTTGGGAACTCAACTTCTTCTTGATTTAGTTGTCCACCGCGGAAATTGTCCTTGCAACGGTATTTCTTCATAGGGAACCACCAATATGTAAGCATGCAGATCACGTAAACAACCAAAACAACACAGAAATAGTTCATTCCTGCAGCAGTAACTGGGTAGTATGCAGGGAATGAAAAGAACACCAATGCAAACAAACACCAACACAACAAGATGATGTTGCAAAATGTACCAATTCTTCCAAGCCAAAATGGACCTGGGCGGATTTGACGTTTTCTCATTAACAAGCAAATTGTTGGTATGGAATATGCAATAAGTAAGAAAGAAACACATGCTAATGCTGTAGCCTGTAATGCTGCGTCTGAAAAAACCAAGACCGATACGATAGTAACCATAATTGTTGAAAATAAATGAGCGTACAATGGACCACCTGTTTTAGGGTCAATTATTGACAAGTACTTGGACAAAGGCAATCCGTTGTCTCTAGCAAAACTCCAACACAATCTCGCTTGCCAAGTTTGACATGCCACTGTACAGCCTGAAGCAGTGAGAAAGACCAATGAACCCAAACAAATTGCACCAGCTTTATTCTTCAATGCCTGATAGTAAATGTCGAGAATAGGCATACCTGTGCTGGAGTTGACTATTCCATCAAGATTGTTTATACAAAAAAACATAGCAATGGAGTAGGTGAATGCGGTGACGAACCCAATTGCTACTGTAGATAAGACGGCCTTGGGGATATCCCTTTCTGGTTGCGAAGTTTCCTCACTCAAATGGGTAACACTATCGAGACACGAAAAGGACCATGCAGGGTTAATGAGGCCCACAATAAATGCAATTCCCTTAGAAGGCCAGCCTGTTCCATTTGTAAACTCAACAAACACAAAAGAAGCATTTTGGTAATTGCCCCTAGAACATACCAACACGGTGATTAAAATAATAGTATATGAAGTCAAACTAATACCGAATATGCTGTTTCCTACAATAGGGAGGTACTTGTGCCAGATATTGAATAGGAAAAGAAACCAATTAACAATGTTGTAAATGATAAAGATTTGCCATTTCTGAGTCTCATGTTGTGGATGGGACAAGTTCCAGAAACCCAATAATTCCAATGCTAGTGCCAAACACATTGATGCTGTAGTGAATATGGAACCACCCCATGATATGCTTCCTGTTATATAAGCCCAAAAGCTAGAATACTTTTTTGGCGCCAATACACGAGCCCACACATATTGTCCACCAGCAGAGGGCATGGCACTTGCCATTTCTCCCAAGGTCACTGCAATACAAACAGATACCGAGGCAACAATCAATATACCATAGACAATCAAAATTGGACCTCCAGACTGAATACCAGTGACTAAACTTGACGATATACCCAACCAACTATTGGTTAGAGAGAACCCAATCATTGCAAGACTTAGATTCGAAAAATTTCTCTTCATCTCCCCGCCGCCAACACCACCAACACCACCATCATTTATTCCTTGTTTTAACGAAATAAAGCTCTTTGAATCCTCTACATCCATAATTTTTTCGGTATCGTGAAACGACACTAATGACGAAGGACGAGATTGGTCTTCCTTGTCGATTTTACTACTCATTTTCTATCTACTAGACAAGTACCAGCTACTTGGTGGGAAAAATGGGCTAACTATTTTTACAGAGTCAAGACGATATAAAATTTTTCATTTATAGAAAATGAAAAGATAAAGGAGAAGAAGAGAACAAAAAAAAAAAAAGATGCAAACTATAAATGTATGGGGAAATGAATCTAGTCTTATATCTCTTATTGTTTTGATAATCTGGAAATTTCAACTAGATAAAGAGAAAAAAAATCAGTGTCAAATGGGAAATCAATGTGAAACGAGTGTAAAATGAGTGTGAAATGAGAGGCAAATGTGACATTTATGTGAAATCAGTGTGAAATGAGATGGAAAGCTATGCAGAAAATGGACAAGGATGGTAAAACCTTTCAAATCGGGAATTACCGGATTATGGTTACATTACTGTTTCCTTGTAATAAAAAATTTTCTCTCTTCACTAAAATAAGCTTTTTGGTAAATTGCAAAAAAATGTTGAAATTGAAAATTTCTTTCTTTTTGGGTTTTGGTTGCTCGCCTTGATTATAAAATCGACTCTACTGTTGAGTAGACACTATGGAGCAAAGCGAGATAGTGGTACATCTCTCACTACACCCCACTATCGAGCAAAGCGAGATAGTTGGGCATCTCTCACTACACCCCACTATCGAGGAAAGCGAGATAGTTGGGCATCTCTCACTACACCCCACTATCGAGCAAAGCGAGATAGTTGGGCATCTATCTCTCACTACACCAACTACACCAACAACTGACTAACGAAAAAAGATCTTAACAAATATACGAAAATATCACGTGATATATTTAGTCCAATGGATCACGTGATTTTGTATTATCACAAACATTCATTTGGAAGAAGAACATATAGGTTCTTTCATGAGACTATCGACACTATCGACACTATCGACACTATCGAGCGAAGCGAGATAGTGGAGCAGCACTGACTACACTAACACTATCGAGCTGCACTGACTACACTAACACCATCGAGCAGTACTGACTACACCATCTCGCTCTGCTCGATAGTGAGCACTTTGTAGCTTGTTACAACACCATCTCGCTTTGCTCAATAGTGAGCACTTTGTAGCTTGTTACAACACCATCTCGCTCTGCTCGATAGTGAGCACTTTGTAGCTTGTTACAACACCATCTCGCTTTGCTCGATAGTGAGCACTTTGTAGCATTTCACGACACCATCTCGCTTTACTCGATAGTGTCTTAGAACTTTGTAACAAGCCACTGATTTATTGCAGACCGCTTCCTTAAATGTGGTTGTTTTGCTCGAGCAGAGCGAGATAGATACAGCTGTCGCAGCTAGTCAGTGCTGCTCCACTATCTCGCTCTGGTTGATAGTGTTGTAACAAGCCACTGAGTGTTGCCCCACTATCTCGCTTCGCTCGATAGTAGGTCGCTCTGCTTGATAGTGTCGCTCCTACAAGAATATAACTAGTAAAGAATTACATACCCGTGTGTAGCACATACACACCTATCAATGCCCCACTATCTCGCTTCGCTCGATAGTAGGTTGCTCGATAGTAGGTCCGTTACACATCTATCAATGCCCCACTATCTCGCTTCGCTCGATAGTAGGGCATTGTTAGGTCAATGTTTGCACCTACTGACACCTCTCTTTCATTTTTAATTCCAGACAGGTTCTTAAAAGGTACAATTTTTTCTATCCATCAACGCATCGCAATTTATATTGATTGAAAATTAGATAAAATTCTCACAATCATATCGAGCAAATCTCATACGCGCAAAAAGAGGAAAACAAAAACTGAATCCCCATATATTCTACAGTATTGAGACCGCTTTCAATGGTGATAATAATACCTCAAGTACATTGCACTGTCTATAGTGATGGAAAAACTTTCGGACAAAGTTAATAAGAGAAGAAGAAGAAGAAGAAGAAGAAGAAGAAGAAGAAGAAAAATTTCACCAAACTTTCTCGTGCGCGCGCGCGCCGATGTTTCTTTTTTGATACGAGGTACACGCCACAAAGATGGGTTAAGACACTACCTGAAAAATCGATGCGCTACCAGATATATTTTTTTTGCGTTTTGTTTTCCAAATTGAAACTATAGGAGATGGGTGAAGGGGTTAGAAAGGGTATTGCTTATTGCTTATTGCTATTGGGTATACTGGATACGCGTGGTTGAGCTTGCAATTGGAATATGTTTGCGAATAGGTCTATGAATAACACTTCATCGTCTGGAGGACTATTCAATTTTGGCCAATCAGGGACTCAGCAACAGCAACAACCACAACCACAACCACAACAAGTTTCAACAGCACAGGCGGGTGGAAATGCATCTGTGCCTTCGAATCTGACACTAAGTAGCACAAATAATGTTGACATTACAGCATCACTAAACATCAAGAGCAGTGACGAGCTATTGAGAGAACTATTAGACTCGGCCAGTAATTTGCCTAAAGATTCTATTTCAAAAGTTAATCTTGGTCCAATACATCTTACCCTCGATGAACTTGCACGCAAGTCTGAACAACTCAGAAAACGAGAGGACAAGGCAAATAATTTCACAAAAGCTCACTATTTATTAGCTGGAAGCGGGTTGGCAACTGGAGACATTGAAGAAGATTTGAACAAAATACAGTTACCTAAATCAACTACATCATCGCATTACCAACAGCAGCAGCAGCGTTATTTTCATCGAGACGATGACAGTATAGAACATTACCTCAAGAGCAATAAGGAGGAAAACATTTTAAACACAATTGAGCAATCTTTTGCTCTAGCCTCAAAGGACTTTGACAATTTCATTAGTGCAAACATCTCCAGCGACTGGCAAAAGAGAAGGGAAGAACTAAAGCAAGCAGTGGGACTAAAAGATGACATCAAGTTTCAAGAAGAAGCAATGAAATGTTCAGTTGTATGGAAATCCAAATCTGCAGCTGCCAACATTTTAACACCATTGGCCACTAAAGGAAACACTTCTGTGCGTCAGACATCAAGAGAAAAGTTTGAAAATTACGCTAGAGTCATTTATTCATTGAATGAGGCGAGATTGCGAGATAAAGCGTTTCCTCTATGCTTGAATTTTTACGAATTAAACAGGTTACAAGACGACCTAAAATCAAAACAAATTTGTGAAGCATGGAAGATACTTCAAGGCTTAACTGGGGAGGAATCAGCTACATCTAGCCAAGAGCAGAAATTTTTCAATTTTTCCAAAATTGAGTTGAACGATGCTATACTGACTAGCAGTAGAAAATTTTTGGAGAAGGAATTTTACCTTTACATTGAGCAACTATACGCTAAAAGCAGCCACAAATCTCAGACGTTTTTACCTGCTACTAATATCAACAAGATCTCCTTTTTCATACATCAGATTATCCTTAAGAATGATCCTGAATTGGTTAATAAGACTTTACTCGTCAACGGTACGCCAATCTGGGCATTGATTTATTATTTAATGCGTGCTGGATTGTATGACGAAGCAGCTGAGCTAGTTTTACGTAATCGTGAATTGTTCAATAAATTCGATAAGAATTTTCCCACGTATATAAGAAAATATGCTGATAGCCCAAGACATACTTTGCCTTCGGAACTCAGTGAAAGAATACATCAAGAGTTTAATCGGCAGTTTCAATACGTTATGAATGACCTTGATCTGAGTATTAACTTTGATCTGTACAAGTACTCGGTTTATAAGATTGTGGGGAAATGTGATTTACATAACAAGGCAGTTCCTCAAGCAATCAATTTGAGCATCGAAGACTGGTTATGGTTCCACTTTGCTATAATCAACGAATATCAACAGCAACAACACCCAAATGATGACGAACAATCCTCCATTGTTTTTCATAACTTTGGTTCAAGCAACTTGCAAAGCAAAATTATTCAACTTGAATCGAAATTTTTCTTGTCATCGTCGTCATCAAAAAACCCATTATACTTAAAAACACTTTTATTAACTGGGTTATACGAGCTAGCAGTTCAATATTGTTATGAATATGTGAATGAAACAGACGCTGTTCATTTAGCTATTGGATTGACATATTTTGGTCTTCTCAAGTGCTCCAATTTCAAGAAGGATGATTTACTAACAGTTTATGGAAATGAGTATGAAATCAATTACAGTAGAATCTTGGGTGCATACACTACAAGTTTCAAAATCAGCGATCCAAAAGTTGCTTGTGAATACTTGATTTTGATAGCCATGGCACAAGGTGGTGATTCAAAGGAAGCCGTGTCTGTTTGCCACGATGCCTTGAAAGAGTTATTACTCATTACTAGAGAATTTGGTATACTTATTGGTGAGTTAGACCCTGCTACTACAGGTGTTATAGAACACGGAGTTATGGAAAAGCAAAGGAAATTAATCAAGCTAGAGGACATCAAAGCGTTTAATCGTCAAATTGTTGAAGCTACTGCAGTTAAATGCGAAGATGAAGGGAGAATATTTGATGCACTTTTATTATACCAATTATCTTGTGATTACGAAACCACCATTGTTTTAGTCAATAAGCTTCTTGCCGAGTTGATAGCTACTAGTGATTTGAATAAACCAATATTGTATTTTGGAAATTGTGATGTTATGTCTAATGGATTCACTACTAGTAGCAGTAGTAGTAGTAGTAGTAGTAGCGGTGGTGGTGAGGAGGAGAAGCAAGGGGCGGGGGCTGCCGAGGAGACACAAGAAACACCCGAGAATAATATCATATTGTTATCTGAACATATTTGGAATAATTTTTCCAAAAGTAGCAAGATCTTAAGCAGCATTACTCCAAGCGTAAGACATACTTGTGAACTACTCATTTCAATTATTAGTATACGAGATTTGTTCATCAAGAGAAATTGGCAAGAGGTTATTTCGAGAATAGATAAATTGGGATTGGTACCAGCAAATGCCATTGATGATTTGACAAAAGTAAGAAGCTATAGCGAGCTAATCGAAAATAACGATTTGGATAAGAATTTGATTCAAGTTGTGCCTTCGTTACTCATATTGGTGATGACTTGTGTATCCAATATTAACTATGACATTTTAACTAAAAAATATCAACCTATTAGTAAAGGAAAAGGTGAGTTGGATTACTGGAAGAAAATCGCACGAAACTGTATGATATACGCGGGAATGGTACAGTACAAGATGCCTAGAGAAGTATATAGCTTGTTAATCAACTTGGAATCCCTGTTATAATGAGACGTTGATAGCCCAGTTTGTACCAAAAAAAAAATAAAAAAATAAAAATAAAAGTTTTGCATCTTTTTCTTTTCATCTCGAAATAATACAATACCAGATTGTAAAATCTAATACATACTGAGATAGAAACTTGATAATCTTGTATGCTTTCCTAGTTGTATTATCTGATATACAAATTCCATTATACTAGGATTATTTCACCATCTATAGTGGTATATTGTTTTTTGTTTATTTTTCTTTCTTCACTTTATTTAATTCTTCTTAAATGACCAAGAGATGTGTTGGAAAACGGTCTTGTTTTGAACTCTCTCTGAGCTTCAATGACTTGCTCAACTCGATAAAACCGTATTATCTTCCTCAACCAGAGATCATCTCAGATGATCAAATAGTGGTGATACGGAATTTCTTTAACAAAGGGTTCTGTGACGAGTTGATCCGGTTGTTTGAAACAAGAGTCAAGTTGGAAACAACGCCAAAGGTAAAGAGTAAAGAGTATGCCGCAAGGTATAATGATCGCGCTAGTTTAATTGACTTGGATGCAGCAGATGTGTTATGGCGATATATGCAAAGAGTTTTATTGACAAATGAGTATAGTAGTGAGCCTCAACTGGAGGCAATTGCAAAAATGTTCCATGATGCAATAGGATTGAATCCTCAATTACGGATATATCGATATTTGCAAGGACACCATTTTGGAAAACACTACGATGATTCAGTTGTATGTGATATTCCGCCTCTTGGTAAGAGCAAAGGTATTACGAAATGGACATTGTTGATATATTTAACAGGTAACGATGAGTTTACCGGTGGCGGAACCATATTTTACCCTGAGTTTGGTGGCAAAGAAATGAATATCCATCCAAGCAAAGGGATGGCATTATTGCATAAACACGGAGACGCTTGTTTGCAGCACGAAGCAGAGATGGTGAAGAGAGGAGTTAAATGGGTATTAAGAAGCGATGTTATATTCCCTGCTTAGACTGAAAGAATTGTATACATTGCTCAACGTAGTTTGAATCAACGGTTATTCCATCCCTTATCCATTTGCTCAATTTTCTTTGCACTTTAAAAGAATGGAATCTTTTATCAACAAGAAAAATCATAGCATAATCTTTTGCGTGTCGGATTGATCTTCCTATACTTTGATTCACGGCCCTCATGCATAGATTATCGTAATAGTCAGTTGACTTCTCTCGTGCTTGTTTTATTGTGCCACCATTTACAAGGACTTGAGATTCAATAAATTTCCGTTTGGCGACAATTTCACCCGAGAATGCATTGGGGTAGGGTAAACCAACCATTACCACCGCTCTTGCCAAATCGTTAGAGAAATTGATCCCTTCGGACAATTTACCACCTACAACCGCCAATAATATGGCACCTTTCCGCTGCGTGTTTATAACATGCGAGTATCGACTCATTATTGCTTCTACTTTAGAAGAAGTTGTCGATTCTTCAAAAAAGATTTGTTTCAATTGACTGAGTCTTGAGTAGATTGTCGAGCTTTTCCAAACTTGAATCATTTCGTTTAGCACTTTGTAACTGCTAAAAAAGACAACTATACCAAATGGTACAATCTCACTAATCTTTATAATAAACTCACCCAAATTCTTTCTCTGCTGTTCATCCTGTCTTTGAGCATACAGAAATTCAAAACTGCCTCCATTGAACAGGTCAACAGGAATCACTTTTAAATTTTCCGCAGGAATGATATGTCCACATGAAAATTTCTTGATTTGATTAGATGGTACAAATGGGAAAAGATAATCTGTGAAATCAGTCATTGGTTCCATTGTTCCGCCACAGAGTATAACACATTTGGCTTGGTCTACAATTTCTTTAAATACGGTGCTTGGATCTAATAGCATATAATTTAATGACATTGCTTTTTCTTCTTCTCCTTGCTCTCCCTTCTTATTATCCCAAAAGAATTTCCCTTCCTTAGCTGGATTGGTTAAGCTTTTCAAAAACTGGATAATGTCAAACAAGACGGGGCTTGATGGATTACTATTATCATTATCAATTTTCTCCATATACGATTCAAGTTTAAATGCGATTTTTGACCTTGTTAAATACTGGTCAATTTTGTGGATATTGACCAAATCGCCTGTTGAGTCTTTGAATATATCTTCAACTTTGATTTCACAACCAGCTTTTGCAGAAACTTGGTTTTTTTGCATAAATTCAATCATGAGCTTACACACTTTGATCAATTTCATCAAGTTGATTCTATTGCCGCTATTCAATCTTTTCAGAAACTTACTCATGTAGGTTTTCAAAGCTTGTATTGCTCGCGAAAGTTGCTCAACTGTGATTTTCACAGAGTACAAGGATGTCAAAGCATCAAAGATATTATGCGCTTCATCAATAATGACTATGGAGTCGGTGATTTGAAGATTCCAAGATTCTCTGGATCCACTTTGCAATAGCAACTGGTAAGGAAGGGAAATGATTTCAGCCAGTTTTATTCCGGGTCTAACTGAATAATATGGACAAATATGCAATTGTGATCCCAACTCTCCTAGTTCTTCAATATCTCTAATTCTTGCCAAACTTAGATCGACAAGTTCTTGTGCTTGAATAGATAACCCGTTATTTAAGTAACGACAACCGTTTTTGGTCTTTTGCAAATCAATGCACGCATCATTAATGCTTTGTTCTCGTTTCTTACTGCTGGTTACTTCTTCATTAATGCACAATTGTTTTCTTGATCCCAAGGGTATATATTTTGTCCTTTCTTGGACATCTTCAAATGATGCATCAAAGCTGGTTAGTTGTAGTTGGCTAGAGAATTGGTTCAATTGGGAATGTGTACGTGAAGAAAAGTATATCTTTATAGGAGAATCGCTGCTAAAATCTCGTTTGAGCTCATCATTGGAAGATGCCTTTTTCATCAACATACTAATTTCATGACGGAGTTTCAGATTGCCTGATTCGACATTGTTTTTCACAAAGGAGTCACTTTCATAATCCACGGGTAAGAACGAATCCAAATCCTCTGTTTCTTGGTGTTTTCTTCTATGCTTCTTATACAATGGCAACTCATTTTCGCTCCTCTTTTTGTTTCTAAAGTTTTCATCAACTTGGTCCAAATGACCTTCAAATTCTTTTAGTCTGGTTTTGGTTTTATCGACAACAGATTGCCGATAAGCGGTTTGAACCCACTCAGGTTCATCATCATCACTGCTCGCGTCATTGCCATTACTAATTTCAGCTCCAATTCGCCTATTTCTCTTGTAATCTCGTAGCCATGTCATTGCAGAACAAATAATAGATAGCGTTTTACCTGTACCTGTTGGACTTTCAAACAACCCAATCTTGAACTCATTCTCAAGAGTATCATATAACTCGTCCATAAATTGGACCTGGATCTCGTACGGCTCGTAGGGATGGTGGTAGTCTCGGCATTGTGCACTCGAATGCATGCCCTTCGAATCAAGAAGGAGGAGGGACGCCCTCGCCAACGACGAAGCCAAAAAAAAAAAATGTAGCGATGATCTTTTGGTCGAACGCGTCGCGAAAACAAAACGTTAGCCGCTGTCTCGACCTTTTCTCGACCTACAGCAATCTAGGCAACTTAGGTAACCCAGGACCCACCTTCCCCATAGCTTTGGTGACTTGAGATGAGCAGCATTATTTCAGATATTGTATTGCCGCGAGTAAATCCTGCTTTTGCTAGAAATGATCCTGTTCAATGGTCTGATAATTTGCAATTGACATTGAATTCATATAATGAGCTTTTGATCGTTGAGCCTCGATTTCCATCGTACCATCATGCTATTCGCAAGACTCGAAACCAAGTTGTTTTGAGTTCAAAAGAGATATTCTCTGTGGGACAGATTCTCCATGCTGAAAGTACAAATAATTTACCCTTGGGCCGGTTTGTTAAGGTTGTTTTTAAGAATGGCGACGAATTTTATAATGGGATGGTAAATGATCCTACAATTGTTTTGCACCTTTGGACACCTATTCTCAAGACTACACGAGATTGCTGGCTTGGTGTTCTCTTCAACACAGGAGAGATGCTACTACTAAAGAGGCAGAATTACAAAAAGTTGTACAGTTATAGTGTCAAGATTAATTTGTTTGAAAAATTGGTGGAAATTTATAATATACCAATCTATGAGGATAAATGGTATGTTAGTGCAGAGGAATACCGACATTTGAAGATCAAGTACTTTACATTCAATATTATTGAAGATGTGCTATATTTGGTGGTGGTAGACCTGTCCAACAGAATCTCGGTGTTTCAATTTGATGATAAAGCTGATGGCAATCATTGTAATGGCGATCATTGTAATGGCGATTTGCATTTGGTAAAGCAATATGATTTCAACAAGGAAATTTTGAGAGTCAAGTGGCTGCATAACATTTTTATGGTAATTGGAGTTGATAACTCGATAACTGTGTTTGACGATAATTTGGAAGAGGCCATGGAGCTATCACCTAGTCAGAAATTGCAAAATCAAAAAAATGAAATCTTCATCTATCAAGATAATCTGTATATTGTTTCGGTGTTTACGTCCAAAGTAATGGTGTTTGAAGGGAAAAACAAATTCGAGTTCAATACACACTCATGGTGTGCATGTTCTTCCTTAGTTGTTGGTGCATCACCACCATCATCATCTTCGGGTAAATTGAGCATCCTTGTTGGATTTGAAGATGGTAAATTTTTGACACTTGATTTTGACCTAAAAGATAAAACATTTCTAACAAAAGAGAATGATCAAGCTTTAGACATATTCGTGGAAAGGGCATTGTACTCCTTTGAGCTTGCCAATACAGAAAATGACCATGAAGTAGAAGGTAGCATCATAGTTTACGGGGTCCATCATTTAACGGATAGCATTTTGGGGATTGTATATAAAGTACTACCAAAAAATGCCATACATTATCGGATTCCATCAAAGACAACGGCAAATCTACTGTTTGTTAAATTGAATGAGCCATTACAGACATCAAGAGACAAGAGGATGCATACCACTTCTGTGACAAAGTTGATAATGGCGTATTTAGAGGATAGTTTGGCATTTCCCGCGATCTTGGATGATTTATCCTTTGCATACAGTGCAAGACTTGATGCCTTTTTGGAAGAATTTGAACTTGTTGTTGATAAGGTGTTGAAGAGAGAGAAAATTTGTCAGTACGACGAACGGCTGCAAATGCTGCTACAACAAAGTTTAAAGTTATATTTTTTGGAAAATCGTGAAATTGAGAGGCTACAATATAAGCATACATTAGCTCGACTTTTTTTATCGGCACTTCAAAAGTATACCACGTCTAATAATGCTGGAGTTCAGAAATTATACAAGAAACTTGTTGAGAGACAATATGAGTTTCAACAAGACATTAGGCGATATTTACTGCAAGTGGTATTGAAAACAATTGCTTCTAGTGATTTTGATTTGAATGATTATGACAATTTTGTGTTGATGAACATGGCCTCGTCGGTTAATGATTTTTCAAATTGTGAAAATCTATTTCGAGAAAAAGTGTCAATCACAGTACGAGGCAAAAGCCTAGTTGAAACATTTGAAATTGACTTGCAAAGTCAACAGCATCAACAGGAAGAAAGAGAAAAAGAAGATCAACAAGAACAGCAATTGTTGAAAAAGAGGAAGAGGATGATAGTTTCAACTTCGCAACATGGCTGGGCGACTTGCGATTTGACGAATTTGCCAATACTTACAATGGACAACCGGGTTGACGAGCTAAACCAATTCAGATATATCTGTGACTCACAGGCCAATGTACAGGTGATGAAGGATTTATTGAATACTCTTGGTTTTTGTTATATTAGTGGTAATCGAATATATAACATTAGATAAATATACACGATGAGATAGAAAAACAACTGTAATAAGTAAGCTAAGTCTGCTCCCCTATCGAGCAACACTATCGAGCGACACTATCGAGCGACACTATTGAGCGAAGCGAGATAGTGGAGCACACTCACCATCACACCGACACTATAAAGCGAAGCGAGATAGTGGAGCAGCCTCATCACTTTCGAGCAAAGCGAGATAGTGTCGCGATGTATTCTGTTGCTCCATAATGTCGCGGTGTATTCAGTGCTGCTCGATTATGTCGCGGTATATACAGTGCTGCCCCACTATCTCGCTTCGCTCAAAAGTGTCGAATCTACAGTAATATCAATAGAACTTGTGGTGAGTACTTAACATCGTATACCATTAATAAGCTAATATTGGCTTTCGTGGTTGTAAAAGGGTACCAAGTGCTGCTCCACTATTGAGCGAAGCGAGATAGTGGCGATATTACACAAAGGCGGTAGTTAAGCCCCATACAACCGGCTAATTTTTTTTCCATCAAAAGAGAAAGATCCCCCACAAATCGGAAAAATTCGTTTGTTATTATTTTTTTCCCCTTTAATAAGAAAAACATACGATAAACATATCTAGATTAACCATTAGCTACATCTACAAGTATTATTTGGACTCGGGAAAGATAATATTTTCGACACTATCCACTATCGAGCAGAGCGAGCTTATTACAGCACTATCGAGCAGAGCGAGATAGTGCCTATGAGCTTACTAGCTGCCAAACTTAGTACAACACTATCGAACACTATCGAGCAGAGCGAGATAGTGCCTATGAGCTTACTAACTGCCAAATTCAGCTTATTACAACTCTAGCTGCCAAACTCAGTAGCTTATTACAGCTTACTAGCTGCCAAACTTAGTAGCTTATTACAACACTACCTCGCTCTGATAGATAGTGCCTATGAGCATACTATTTCGCTCTGATCGATAGTGCCTATGAGCATACTATTTCGCTCTGATAGATAGTGCCTATGAGCATACTATCTCGCTCTGATCGATAGTGCCTATAAACATACCATCTCGCTCTACTCGATAGTATGAACATTGATGTAGAGATTAAAAGGGGTGTTTAGTAAAAACTATTTAGTTAAATAACTCAATTGGAAAACAATAAAATACCCAAAATAAACCAATAAATAGTAGAATTATGTTTCTGCATATTTTTGTAATGCGCAGTGGAATTCCAGATGCATTGTGCTAATAATATATGGAACTCTATATATCAAGCTCTTTACTTGCTACGTTGTTGATGCACATAAGAGATCTCTCTTTTCTTTTTTCCTCGTTCTTGCCCCACAACACATGATTTAATATTTACTATAAACAGGATTGAAAAGTTTTATTTGTTGATTGAAAAGTTGCATTTGTTTTGTCATGATATGTTTTTCCATATTTTCAAGTGGAAACACAAAATTGAGCTCTACTATTGAGCGAAGCGAGATAGTAGAACAGCACTGAATAATGACACTATCGAGCAGCACCGACTCCGCTCGATAGGGCCGATAGAAAGAGTTACTAAATACACCGCGACACTAAATACACCGCGACACTAAATACACCGCGACACTATCTCGCTTTGCTCGATAGTAGTTAGTGTGCTCCACTATCTCGCTTTGTTCGATAGTAGTTAGTGTGCTCCACTATCTCGCTTCGCTCGATAGTAGTTAGTGTGCTCCACTATCTCGCTTTGTTCGATAGTAGAGCTCGATATGTGCATCATTCTCATCATTGTATCAGAATAATCAAACAGTAACAAAAATACAATTTAAAACACCATTCCTTCACATTTCAACCAAACGACAAAATCCAAACCTAAAACCTTTTTTTTATTAATGACTTTTAGAGGGGAGGAATCAATTTTTTATCCTCTCACGTAAGCACAAAAGACCTACACCGACAACCAATTTCCTCTCATATATGGCCAGCCCAACCCATCTTCTTTCAAGTAGATTACTACAACTCCTCTTGCAAGTAGATTATTACAACTCTTCTTTCAAGTAGCTTATTACAATCCATCTTGCAAGTAGCTTATTACAATCCATCTTCTTTCAAGTAGCTTAATACAATCCATCTTCTTTCAAGTAACTTAATACAACACTATCGAGCAGAGCGAGATAGTGTTGTATGTCAAGTAGCTTAATACAACACTATCTCGCTCTGCTCGATAGTGTTATAGAAACGGTTTATCGCTACCATATCTTGTTCTCTCTCTCACACGCACCTGGAAACTTCGACCTACTGTATGAAAATGCTTGATACTTTTTTGGCACTCATAATATTTTTAATCTTAATAACTGTGTCGTTTTTTTTACAACAATTAAACAACATTATATCTCAAGTACAAGGAACCTTTGTGTTAGCTCAGGTTACAAGGAACAATAGTGGTAGCGCGCCGGTAATTTCCATCGTCTTTAAAGTAACTCTCATTAGAGTTTTGCCCAGTTTTACTAAACACACACACATATATATATATACACATTTTTTAGAAGCTTAAACTCCTTGTTATATCTCATTAGAAATAGGATCTAAGTGGTACACGTTTGCACACAAACCAACAGGTATTTTACACACACGCACATCTTTTCAATAGAGACTAAGAGACTGAGGCTAAGAGGCTGAGGCTAAGACACTGAGGCTAAGAGACTGAGACAAGAGGCTGAGGCTAAGACACTGAGACCAAGAGACTGAGACCAAGAGACTGAGACAAGAGGCTAAGGCTAAGACACTGAGACCAGAGACTGAGGCTAAGACACTGAGACCAGAGACTGAGGCTAAGACACTGAGACCAGAGACTGAGGCTAAGACACTGAGACCAGAGACTGAGGCTAAGACACTGAGACCAGAGACTGAGGCTAAGACACTGAGACCAGAGACTGAGGCTAAGACACTGAGACCAGAGATTGAGACAGTTTGAAATAATGTCTAGTGAGGTTTATTCTGGAGGGGCGACCACGTCCCAGCATGTTGATGCTCAAGATGAAGATCATTTCGAAAACACCACGTTCAAGCTAAAGAGAACAAGATCATTAGGTTTGCTAGATGAATTCATACCTGAGAAAACAAAAGAACAGGCACTAAATGATGGGAAAGTTTCCACTTCCTCGCATTCACAATCATTGTCAGATTTGAACGGCAACACATTTCTCGATAATACAGACACTACTAATCGACCTCCAACAAATTCAGACTCGATAATCAACACAAATAGCAACCAATCAACTTCAGACTCGATAATCAACACAAATAGTAACCAATCAACTTCAGACTCGATACTCAAGACAAATTGTAACCAATCAACTTCAGACTCGATACTCAAGACAAATAGCAATCAATCAACTTCTTGCTCACCGTCTCCGTCCCCCGTACCATCTCCTACAACTTCACCTACTTTGAATTTACAGTCGCCAGATTTATTGCCTTATGATGATACAGATTTAGCAGCAGAACCTTCACGCCACGTTGACTACTTGTCCCATCAATGGAATGTCAATGATATATCAAAATCATGGAGATACGTTATATCCAAGAAAAAAGATGTTGCCAATGCAGCAAGACTCGAAAATGCCTCTTGGAGAACGTGGGCTCAAAGAAGATCCAATTTAAAAACAATCAGTCCTGAAGTGGTCAACTGGTCAAAAGAAAGTGATGTCACATGGCTTTACGGACCAATATTGAATACTAACAACTCACCAAAGCCCGGCCAAGACGACGAAAATAGTGAGGATAACCATTCAATGCATGAAGACTTAACTGCAACAAATGCTGTAGCTGGTGACATTTCCATCGCCAAAAAGCCAAAAAGAAAACATGCTCCTAAACCTATTTTGAAGAAAAGAACTGTTGAAGAATCTATAATAAGTCATTCAAACTTGTTAAAATTACAATTGGCCACTAGCTTGTATCAAAAAAGGAAAGAGCAAATGAAGCAACAACAGCAACAGCAGCAGCAGCAGCAGCAACAACAACAACAACAGCAACAACAGCAACAACAACAGCAGCAGCAGCAGCAGCAACAAAACGAACAGTTCAACTCTCAAAACCAAAGTCACCCAGAAGAATATTTCGATTATCATGCACTACTGAACAAATTAAATAGTCAATACGCAAACAAAAATCCCACTGACAATTCAAGTGTTGCCAAGTTTCAAAATATGTTAAGGTCATCGTCAACTTCATCATCATTGGCTACTATGAAACAAGATGACAACTTAGCCGTAAATACCGATATAACGGGGGTACTGGTAGGTTTATCTAAGCAAATATCCCATGATAAAATGGGAAAAGATCAAGGTACTACTACTACTGCTATTAGTGGCGGTGGTGGTAATAGTGTAGCTACAACTACTGCAGCTACAACTACTGCTCCAGAGAAGAAGGACAGACACATACATTTTAACGAAGAAGTGAAACAATGTATAGCTTACGATTGCTATTCAGAAGATGAATATGACGAAGATGGTGGTAACTCTGAGGATGAAGATGATTTTGAAGAAGTTTTCAATGATGATAATGACGACGACGACGATGATGATGATGATGATGATGCTGATGATGATGATGATTACACGGGGCAGGTGAATAACAATCTCATTAGAAGTCAATTTTACAAGGATGATGACGACGATGACGACAATTGTGACGATAGCGACGATAATGAAGATGACGATGGGGGATTTTTCCTTCAAGTTAAATCCACCACTACTGCACCTTTGAAATTGGGACACAGCAATAACCAAAGCTCAAATCTTCGTTCAGTAAGGGAGAGCGGAAATGGTGCTACTAGTACTGCTGGTACTGCTGTTTCTGATAGCGAATCAGCTTCTACTAGTAGTAGCAATAGAAGTTTCAAGACTATTCATCTTTTGCCATCCACAGTATTAAACTACGGTTCCGATGAAGAAACTAGCGATGAAGATTACCCATACACTTCAAGTTTGTCACACAATGTTAACAATGATGTAAGTCGAGGTTATGACTACTACTACGATTACAACACAGTCTATACGTGTGATCCTAGTTATCCTAACTTAGGAAGTTATCAAAACACTGATGTAATTGATGTACCTGAAAACCTTGAAATTGGATCCAACATAAGCTACGAATTGATTGAAGATGCGGATGTACCGAAGGTTGTCCATGAATTTCCAAACACCAGTTATTCCAATAACAATAATAACAATGAAATCAACAACAGCAACAACAACAATAACGATAATATCAACAATAGCAACAGCAACAGCAACAGCAACAACAACGATAACAACAATAACGATGCTAATAATAATACTAATATTAATAGTGGCACTGCTAATAGCTATTCGACATCACACAGTCTGCCTTCATCATCACCTTTATCGACGGCAGTAAATGAAACTATTGGGAGCCACAGAGCAAAACAGTCACCTTTTCAATTGAGTGAATCAGAGAGTGATTCAGATGGTTCAGATGATTCAGATGCTTCGGAGACGGATGTACTAAGTATTGGTACAAGAAGATCGAGCCAGGGAATAGCAGAACTGGTTTTACATTCTGGTGGATTATTTGAGCTCAAAAAGGAACATCTGACTCCACAAATATCATCGTCAGAGACTAATCGAGACAAACCATTGAATCTCTCTGGCTTTCCTGCTGAGCCTGTAAATGAGCATATTTCTACTATCAACCCGCGTTATACTTCTGGTGAGACCTTAACCAAGCAGTCCCGAAGCTCCAATTCACTTTCACAACTGTTTTTAGGAAATCAAGGGGAAACATCTTCTCAAGATAAAGCTTTGAGCAGTATATTTTTTGGTAGTTCTTCTGCTACACCTTCTCCACAGTCACAGTGTACAAAACAAAATCATAGTGGAGAATCACAAACTGAAAAACCTTGTTTATCACGTACTTTGCCCAATACAAATAAGAAATCCACATTATCAGAGGCTCGCACTACATCAGAAAATGCATTTAGTGTATTACCACAACCGCACCAATCGCAAAACTCTCCTTTTGCATCTTCTCCTAGTCACTGTACACAACAACAGCAGCAGCAGCAGCAGCAGGAACAGCAACAACAGCAACAACAACAACAACAACAACAACAACAACAACAGCAGCAGCAGCAACAACAACAACAACAAAAGCACGGACAATTTCTATTTGATGAAGATTCAGATTTAGAGTCAGATGAATTTGAAAAAGAAGATGGTGGTGGTGGTGGTGGTGTTATTGATAGTAACAAGAGAGGAAAGAGTTATAATTCCTTGAGTAATTTGGCAGATAAAATCGGAATACGAAACACATCAGGAAACCCTACTTTGCCCACACCTCATTCTATTAATGATGATGAAGCGGCAGAAGAGGATAAGAATAGTAACTTGATTGGTCAAGCAAAGGGACTTGCTAAGCATTTTTTTGGATAGATGAGTAAATTTAAACAAGGATGTGTTGGTATACTTTTTTTTACGTGTTCATTTTAAGTATATATATGTGTGTAGATTAATATAACGTGTACAAGCTAGAGATGAGTAATCGATGGTGTAGTCGGTGTAGTCAGTGCTGCTCCACTATCGAGCGAAGCGAGATGGTGTCATAACAAGCTACAAAGTGTTAGGACACTATCGAGCAAAGCTACAAAGTGCTAGTACGCTATCAAGCAAAGCGAGATGGTGTCAGTGAAGTCAGTGCTGCTCCACTTTCTCGCTTTGCTCGATAGTGTCGTAGTGTCGGTGTGGTTAGAGCTGCTCCACTATCGAGCAAAGCTACAAAATGTTAGGACACTATCGAGCAAAGCTACAAAGTGTTAGGACACTATCTCGCTTTGCTCGATAGTGTTCTAGTGAAGGTTGCTATTTCATTTCTTTGTCCCTCCTCCTCAATCAACCCTTAGCAATCAAAAGCTTATTGTGTATGACATTTATCTTTTTTATTTTTCGCGCGATTGTCCTAAAGAAATTCTTGAACCCCTCGCCGCGTTCTTCGTCGCACCTCCCGCCGTATCTCCCACCTTCCCGCCCTGGAAAAAGAAAAAAATAAGTTGAGATTGTTACTGATTGTGGTAAAGAGAGCAAGCGATAAGCCAAGCCCATCAATTTTTGACATTATCATTGACTAATCTTTTTTCTTCTTCTTCTTTTATATATAGAATAGTTATATTGGTTGGGAAGTTTTGAATATTGCAAAGGAAGAGTATAGCATAGGGGAAGTTTGACGAGCAAGGAGGTGACTCTTTGATTAAGGTGGATAAAAACGATCGGTGCGTTACATATATATATACAGGTACACGTACACGTACAGGTTACAGGTTACCAGGTTGACATATTTGCATATTAGGCAAGCTCAGAAAGATATAGATAGCGCAATAATGGTGACTCTTTCTTATACGCCGACTCATACCACGGCACCTTCAGACGATGATGGAAAATGTGAGCTCATAGGCACGTTTTCTTTATTTACACAAGCTGTGCTTGGTCTACTTTGTATCTCGAGTCTAATTGTCAAACGGTTTTATGAGTATCCAATACGACGAACTTGGCCTGTATGGACGTTTGACGTGAGCAAGCAGTTAATTGGAGCTTTAGGTGTACATGTTTTCAATGTGATTTTGTCTATGCTCAAGACTGCACCTGAGGTGACCATGTGGATGTTGGAGAAGAGGAGGAGAGCAGGTGGAGGAGATGACAGCAGTGATAACGATGATCCTTGTGATTGGTATTTTTTGAGCATTGTTTTGGACTGCACTATTGGAGTTTATATCTTATACTTGGTTTTCCGAAGTATCACCCATATACTAAAGAGCTACTTTGGCGTCCTGCACATTGATAGTGGTGAATATGGAAACGTCAATCATCCTAGCTTCACGGCGTTTTGTAAGCAATTAGCGGTTTATTTCAGTTCCTTAATGATTACCAAGTTCATTCTTTATGGATTTGTTGAGATTTTTGAGAGGCAATTGTTGTGGATAACATCACACATTTTATTAGCATGGCTAGATGAATTTCCCGAAGAGTTTGAAATATTGATGGTTATGTTTGTTATACCTATAATTTTGAACTGTTTGCAGCTAATATTGATTGATAATTTCATTAGAAATCAAATGTGGGCCAATAGCAACAAATTGTTGAAGTTTAGATTTCCTGATTGGGACGACGAGACTGAGAGTGTAAGAAGGAGAGAAATTGAAGAAGTTTTACAAGAAGAGGAACGAATTGAAGCCTCAAAGAATGGGAACGACCTAGAAAGAGGAGACACATCAGGAGAAACGTCTCCTTTGCCTCACAAGGGGTATGGATCGGCTGACGAATGAATCAGATTTCCACTATCGAGCAAAGCTACAAAGTGTTAGGACACTATCGAGCTAAGGGAGATGGTGTCGGTGTAGTCAGTGCTGCTTCACTATCGAGCAAAGCGAGATAGTGTTGCAACAAGCTACAAAGTGTTAGGACACTATCGAGCTAAGGGAGATGGTGTCGGTGTAGTCAGTGCTGCTTCACTATCGAGCAAAGCGAGATAGTGTTGCAACAAGCTACAAAGTGTTAGGACACTATCGAGCTAAGGGAGATGGTGTCGGTGTAGTCAGTGCTGCTTCACTATCGAGCAAAGCGAGATAGTGTTGCAACAAGCTACAAAGTGTTAGGACACTATCGAGCTAAGGGAGATGGTGTCGGTGTAGTCAGTGCTGCTTCACTATCGAGCAAAGCGAGATAGTGTTGCAACAAGCTACAAAGTGTTAGGACACTATCGAGCTAAGGGAGATGGTGTCGGTGTAGTCAGTGCTGCTCCACTATCTCGCTTTGCTCGATAGTGTCGTTGTCGATAAAACAAAAAAAAGGTTCATTTATTGCTGTATGTATTCAAGTATAAATAGAGTAGAGAGGTTATATGTACACAAGTGGGGTTCTCTCCTTTTCTTTATGGAAAAATCTTCCATGTCTATACTATACTGAATCTTTGTGGAAGTTGTACTTTTTCATACACTTCCAATAAGCTTCTATTTCAGCTTTGCAATTATCGTCATTCACGCCATGCCATAATGCGCATTTGTCTCTAGCCTCTCTTTCGGGAACGCAAACGCAACATGGTTTTGGTCTGTCTTCCTTTTGTTGATCCTTAGCTCCTGCCATAGTGGTTGTAATGGATAATAGTGGTGGTAGTTGTTGTATAAAATGATACAAGATGATATAAGATGACAAGATGATATAAGATGACAAGATGAGATTTTGTCTGAATAATATTACCTAATACTTGCGAAATAGATTACTAATTTTTTAAATTCATTGGAGGAAGGCGAGAGCTCTTTGAAAATAACCCGGCTAAAAAGACAATTATGCCGGGTAACAAAATTCTAGGAATTTCAATCGACACTCGACACTATCGAGCAGAGCGAGATAGTGGAGCACACCAACTAAATAGTTTATTGCTAGAGTTATCTCGCTCAGCTCGATAGTAGAACACACCAGCTAAATAGTTTGTTGCTAGAGTTATCTCGCTCAGCTCGATAGTAGAACACACCAACTAACTAGTTTATTGCATAGAGTTTCTACTTTATTTTTAGCCGGGTAATAACATTCTAGGAATTACCATATTTACTCTTAGCGCCGAAAAACAAAAATTTAGAAAGTCTCACCAGCAATAAACACCTATCGAGTAAAGCGAGATAGTGTCTATTTAGTGTTGCTCCAATATCGAGCAGAGCGAGATAGTTGTAACAGGCTAATCAGTACTACTCCACTATCTCGCTTTGCTCGATAGTGTCGATAGTGTTGTAACAAGCTATTCTGTACTGCTACTCTGTGCTGCTACTCACCGTTTCTCCACTTTCTTGCTTCGCTCGATAGTGTATGTAATTTATTGGTGACAAAATACAAATAAAAGTTGTGCAGAAAACAATTTTATAAAATCTTCTTATTGACTCTAAAAATCACTGTTGAGCAGAGCAAGATAGTGTCGCTCGATAGTGTTGTAACAAGCTACAAAGTGTTGGGACACTATCGAGCTAAGGTAGTCAGTGCTGCTCCACTATCTCGCTTTGCTCGATAGTGTCGTTGTCGATAGTGTCGTAGTGTCGCGACATTTTACATGCTATCTTTCACGACATTTAGATTTGAATTTTTTTTGTCGGTTTCAATAACCAACAAATTTCGGGCCAACTTTGATAACACTAGCTTTAATCTCAAGAGGACCGGCATAAAAACAAAGGAAACCAAAGCCAATTAGGGGTGAAGTTTGCTGTTGATACTGTTCTTTTCGAGTGAGTCAAGACTTACCACAAATAGTTATTGAAAACAACTGCACATCACATCACCACGACGACTAACTACTACTACTACTACTACTACTACTACTACTGCTACCCATGGCGGATGATTCATCTGATGAACTAAATACATGCTCAGCTGAAGATGCGACTATAAATTTAAACGACGACTTACCTTCCGAGTCGGAGCACTCGTCGGTAATATATGAGTCTCCAAGTGCCACTTCGACCAACCAGGCAAGGCCGTATTCGCTACAGAGGCATAGGCGAATGGGCTCAGTGACATCTTTTTCAAATTGTAGACGAAGCATAGATAATGAGAGCGTCATACTGTCCAACACTTTGTTCAATGACGATAGTAAGAGCAGCACCTACTCGCCATTGGGTCCAAACTCGATCTATGAGTTAACAATTGGCTCTGATATAGCTCGATTGAGGAGAAATCGTGCTTTGAAAACAATGGTCACGTTGAATGGAGGAACAACCACCATATATAATATTGATGCTCCAACATCAAAGGATATTCCTCAGGTTCAATTGGAACGCTTAAAGAAAAAAGTACCAAACCGAGTACTAGAGGAGAAGTTTATCAATGATATAGCTGGTGAATATAAAAAATTCGAGGAAAGTTATAGAGCATTAACCGAAGATTCGTTGAAAAAGCTCTCAGAGGCAACAGAGAAAAATAATGGCCAATTTTCAAGATCTTCTTCAATTGAAAGTTTACAAAAACAACAAGAAAGTGGAACACTGTTGGCGGAAATTCCAGAGGTGTTTCTTGACCCAGACTTGAAATTGGACGACCCGCGTATCTTCAGCCAAGTGTTGGAAGATTCTGACTTGAAGCTAATGGAAGAGGACCACATTGTAAATGATACTGCATTACAGGACAAACTATCTCATTATTTGGACTTGGTGGAATTGAATTTGGTTTCGGAAATTGAAAGGACGTCAGATTCTTTTTTTGACGCTATCGGAGATATAGAAAGCATTCAGAAGAAATCTCAAACTTGCGTCGAAAAATACCATAGACTTTTGAACAATATCACCACGCTCGAGCGGGATCAAGCAAAGCTAGGTCTTGAGGTACTTGCGAAGATGGTTGAAAGACGTAACGTGGAAATTTTGGAAAAATCCATTATTCAATTACAGTACATCACAACAATATTCCTGAATGCCAAAAGGTCCTTCAGTGCTAATGATAACGTCAAGTGTCTAAATGAAATTGTTACCGTTGAAAACCTCATTAATGGTGTAGATCGTACTGATATTGTTGATGAAGAGGTAAAGAGCATGTATCCCAATCTCCCAATGGTTGATCTTCAAAATTTACCTGCATTGATTCATTTACGTAATGATCTACAATCACTCAAAACTGATTGTGCTAGGAAGTATATTGAAGATTTCATTGAGTTGCTTCTAGACGATTTGAGAGGACATTATCAAAGTGTACCTACAAGAGACACGTTCAATCGAATGTATGCCAATAAGGACAAAACAAGAAAAAGTGCATCAAAAACTGTTAATATGTCTTACCTTCAAGTTGACTCTGAAGTGAGACTTCAATTGCAGGAGTTTGTTAAGAGCCTCATCAAGGCAGAAGAACTCACCAATGCATACACGTTTTATCAAAACAGTTTTATTTCGGAGATCAAAGAGGTGATTAAACAGAACTTGCCCACTGGTACCGCTTTAAATGAAACTCCTTCATTGCAAAACTCATCTGAAAGTACACCAGCTCCAAAACAAGTGGACGGTGCTAATGAAACGATTCGACCTCAAAACGCAATGAGTACGAACATTAAGATTCTTACGCCAAAAGAGTTTGAAGAAATGCTCTGCAAAACATATGCCCAATTATCAGAATGTTTGCGAAGATTAACTGTTCACCAAAAGATGTTATTGGACCTTGCATTAACGGCCATGATTCCAAGTAATAATAATAGTAACAATAATTATAATAATAATAATAATAATAACAATAATAATAACAATAATAATAACAACAATAGCAATAATAACCATCATCATCATCATAATAATAATAATAATAATAATAGTGATAATAATAATAGTTTGGATATAATGTCCTTGGATATTACGAAATCTATACACAAAGCTATTGAACTTACTCAAATCAGACTCATGAAAGTTATTAGCGTAAGACTGGAGCAAACTGCGGATTTGCCTTTACCGCTTTATCTAAAATTGTACTCACTTACTTCAGCATATTTACAGGAATGTGAGCTCATAAACCCTGCATTTGCCTTTAGCGGAGCAGGTAATGTGTTGAGTGAGTGGTTTCAAAATCATATAACATATTTTATACATAGACTTCATGTGAACTCGTTCAAACTGATGGTAAACAGTTGCTCAAAAGAAACATGGAAGGTAATGGAAAACCCAGAAACTTTGGCGCCCACACAGCTTGCTTTGAACCAAATTGTTGAGTATTCAGAGTATGTTCAGAGCAATGGAGAAAATGGCTTTTCAGGTGATAAGTGGCTAGAAATTTTCAACTTTTATGAAGCACAGCAAGAACCCGATATTCTTGCTGAGCAAGAATCTTTGCTGCTGCCAACAAGATTATTTATCGGTGAGAATGAGTTTATTGTTCCGAATTTGGCTGTAATTGTAACCAATCACGTAAAAGATTACATGATAGCTAGTAAGGCATTCCCCACTTTTGCATCAACAATTGAAAATAATCTTTTGAACTATTTCAAGGATTTGAACTCAAAAACTTCGCAATCTGTGCTTGGAGCTGGAGCAACGAGAACTGCTGGGTTGAAGCATATAACGACTAAACATTTAGCATTATGTATCCGATTTATCGAGTACAATATAGCTTTTCTTCAGAGTTTAAAAGGAGCATTTAAAGATTCCAAACGGAAGAGTGATGATGAAGTTACATTTGCAAAGATAATTAGTAACTACAAGGATCATGAAACTGAACTCTTTGCAAAGATCATCACCATTATGCAAGTTCGAACAACAGCCGGTTGTACCAAACTGCTCGCCATTGATTGGTCAGTACCACTTAAGCATCCGCAACAGTGCCATAGTTATATGGAAGATCTCGTGCGTGACACTTCAACCGTGGCAAAAGTCTTAATGAAGTATTTACCAGACTTGAAGTATTCACTAGTATTGCTGCAGATTTTTGATAGTTACAAGAGACTTCTTGTTGAGAATTATTGTACCAAATTGCCAGCATTTAAGGACTTTAATGAAAAACAAAATTTGTTACGGGATATTGATTATTTCAGAGACAAACTTGGTGATTTACCAGGGTATGGCAACTCGGGGCAGGTTATTTGGGAGAATGTTAATCTGATGCCTACCGAAGAAGATGTTAGAATGGAAGAGAAAATGAGGCAAAATAAAGATGAAGCAAAGAGACAACAAGCTGAGCCAATACTAGCTAAATCAAGACTTAGTTTTGAGAAATTGGTCTCTTCTGCTCGAAGCTCTTTTGAAAGAAGTCCTGCTCCTCTGCAGGAATTGCCGTCAGTTGCTGAGAATAATGAGCAACAAGTTGATGAGAAATTAATAGAAAAGGAAAACAATACAACTGCAGCAGTGGAGACTTCTTCTCCTCCACCTAAACCTCCTCAATCCGCCTCTGTGTCAGAAACTTTGGTTTCGGAAAAGGAAGAGAATCAGGAGAATCAGGAAAATCAGGAAAATCAGGAGAAGCAGGAGAAGCAGGAAAAAAAATCTAGCGTGGTTTCTGGTGCTGCTGATGGTATCGACAAGGAGTCAAGAGAGGGTTCTCAGCCTGTTGAATTTACTGAAAATGAATCGAATTTGGAACCGGGAGTAATGGAAGCTGAAACAAGTGAGATAGGTGAAAAAACTACTAGTGTCCCTGTCACAGAAATGCCTAGCAATAAAGAAGAAGTTAGGACAGAGGCAGAGCTTACCAAAGAAGGAGATGTTTCTACAAAAGCACAGTCTATTAAGGAAGAAGATATCACTACCAAGGAAGAGCCCACGACAAACCAAGAAGTTCCTCAACATATGCAAACCATCAATAAGAAGTCTAGTCCGCTTGAAAACGATAGCAAAGTAAAGATGTTGGATACAGAGTCAGACGTAACTGCAAAAACTGCTTTATCCGTTTCTACTGAGGGCAACGATACAAAGTCGAAAAAGGAACTTTTCAACAAAGAAAGCTCTGCTGAAGACTCACATAAAGAGAATGAAGCATTATCTCCTGAGACTAGCAAGACAGAAGAACAAAAATCTACAGATAATTCTCATGATAGTTTACCACAAGACGTCCAGGTGATGGCTGATTCGCAAGAGGCTGTGCTGAATCATCAGGTTGTCCATTTAGATGGAAATCAAAAAGACGAGCAAGATAATGAAAAGCAGAATGATCTAGATTTAGAAATAGAAATAGAACCAGCTGCACCTACTATTCACAAACAAAAAGTCACTGATGTAACCAAATCTATAGATGAAACTCATAATACCGCCCATTTGACGAAAGCTTCAAATAGTGCTGAACCAATTAGGGGCATGACAAAGAATATGAAGGATCTCGGTATTACCGATAATACGAAACAGGGACTGCAACTAGATCTTGCTGAAGACTTTGTATCAAAGCCAACAACGGAGACAGTGAATTTGAATGAGAGAGAATCTGGCATTGATGAGACCATAAGCGAAAATCCAAACAACAGTACTAATGGCAAGGAATTGGAGGAAGAGCAACAAAACGACCACGAACCTAGAGCCGATCCAGGTAAGGAAACAATTATCACCACCGTCGCAAAGGATAAGGAAGAAAATAACGTGAATGTTCCTAATAACAACAAATCCAAATCCCAAAAGAAAAAGAAAAATCAAAAAAGAAAGAAAAAGTGATTTTTTTTTTTTTTTTTAGACTTAGTGATAAGGTAAATTCACACTGTAACTTACTTTTGATACTCGGACAAATTGTACTCACCTTTCTTATTCTTGATAAAAGCCTTTGGATATTCAGTTATGATAGCATCTATCAAGGTATGCGGTGTTACATCAAAAGCTGGGTTCCAAACTGTAATTCCGGGTGTAGCAATACCCACAGTGACCTTATTTCCAACTTCTGATTCATTCAAAATGGGACCAACAAGAGTAGTCAACTCATTATGTGGCCTTTCCTCGATTTTTATTCCTGCACCACTATTTGTCTTTAAATCAATGGTTGTTCTTGGAGCAGCAACGATAAATTTAATGTTTGAGTTTTCAGTTGCATTGAAAAAATTGGCAATCGCTGCCAATTGGAAAGTGCCGATCTTGTTTGCGGTATCACCATTCTTGACGATTCTGTCAGCCCCAACAATGATGAATTTAACAGGCGAGCTTTTGCCATGAATCTCTTTTCCATTCAGCAATGTTTGTATTAGTGATGATACCATATTGTCGCAAATCAATGTGAATGGTATTTCATCGTAGTCTAATTCGTATGTTGTGAGTTTTGCTCCTTGGTTGTAGGGTCTCGTTTCACAAGGGTATATATGATCTAAGTAAAAATCCTCATTTGAAGTCACTTCATTCAAGTGTTGATACGTGGAACGAATGATACCCAATGCGGTACCGTGACCTGAAGTTGCTAATGACCCGGTGTTACAAATTGTGATAACTGAAAATGGTCCCTTGAAATTCTCCTTCTTCAATGACTCCACCATATAATTCAATCCGTTTTCTCCAATTTTATAATTATTTGCCAAATCATCATCGTATAACTTAGTAGCGTACTCATAAATCAACTTGTATATTTCTTTAGTAACCGGTTCGGTCTTTGAAAACTTGGCCAATATCGCTTCAATGTCGTTCAAAGCATTAGCTAAATTGACTGCTGTGGGACGCGATTTAATTAAATAATCCAAAGATTGTTTTAAATCATGCACCGTCTTAGTTTCACTCGTTTTTGACTTTAAAGAGTTATGAACGTCTACTACAACTGAAAACGCCCCCACAATGGCAATTGCTGGTGCTCCTCTGACTTGCATCGATTTAACTGCTTGGAACGCATCGTCTATACTTGTAATAGGAATATACTTCGTGAAGTAAGGTAAAACCAATTGATCAAGTATCTCTAAAGTTATATTATCTCTGTCAAACTTTATCGCTTGTAAAGAGCTATTTTCGCTATCCATCTTTTCTCCTAAACCATAAAAACAATTGGTTCTTGTGCGTTTGTACAAGACTTTATGCAAAAAGGAGTTTGAAAAGTTGGAAAGTTGAAATTGGCTCTGGTTTCCATTTTTGGTAAAAATTTGCAGCTACCTAATAATGCTACCACGTGCCAAGAGAACAATGGTCGTGCTGTGCTGTATCCCTCTACCATTAAGTCCCGGTAGATATAATGATATTGATTTTGATGAGAATGATGATGGTGATGTTCAATAGGTGATAAAACCCAATTAAAAGATGAGTCTACGTATCCCGTCGATTTGCCATTCATTTGTGAGCGGGTTCCATTTACAACCTAATAATTTTCTCCCCGTTATTGGGCACCTTCCGCCTTTATTAATGTCAATAACAGTTTCAGTTTTCTCCAGCTTCGTATCAATGCCTACTTCGTCAATGTCTGAGATTGAAGAATCCTCCTCCTCCTCCTCCTCTTCATTTCTTACTTCGGCTTTCTTTTTCGATACTATGATATGTGATTTCTCCAAATAGTTGTAAATACAAGAGTAATCAAATACGTACCCTGTTTCGATTATAGCGGGATTTGTCATTTCCTTTTTACATAATGGGCAAAGTTTTCCCGATTTGTAAGCCTTTCTTTTCTCCTTCTTATTGTACTGATGTTGCTTCAATTTTTTTTCCTGACAAAGTGCTGAAGTTAACGCCAATGGTGGTGGCAATGTGAATGTAAGTGTATTTCCCTGATTTTTCAACAACTTTGACGAAAACCCAGAACTATTCCACCATTCAAGAAATTTCAATGTGAATATTGCAACGGGGAAGAATGTTCCAAGAACAAGCTTGGTGAGTTTCCACGATGGATGTCTCACCTTAGTATCAAGTAAGTTTAATATGTATTCGATTGTTGTTGGTGGAGCAACCTTATTTGTCTTTTCTCCAAAGTTTTGTTTCGTATCCTGTTTTGGTTCATTTTTATCATAGTCGTATTGCGATAATCGTGAAAAGTTGATCTTGAAGAGGTAGGTTAAAATGGTTGGCGATTTCGATGCACCACTCAAATACATCAAAGTGGTTATCAAATTTGCCAAACGGTACCCACTTTGAAGATATGGATAGATTTCAACGAATTTCCTCTTGATTTGTATTTTAATGTTTTCCTTTTTAGATAATGACTCATGAGTTTTCAACTGGTTCGTTATATACTTTGTATACCACACCTCGTAACAATAATTCAACTTTTCCGACAAAAAGGACACACCAGAAACTTCGAAAATGGATACAATTTTTTGCAAACTTGTCAATTTTCTTGTTTCTTCAATCATCGATGGCACTAATTGAGCCAATTTGCTACCATTGTAGTTACCTTGAGATAACAACGTCTGATTCACCCTTTTTAGCCCATAAAAGTTTTCCGTAAACGTTGCTTGCCAGTAGTTTAAAAAATACCACTCTATAAAACTCCTGAATACCAAGTTGATTTCATCAAAATAGTTATTAAGCTTGAGTAGATACCTCGGATATTTGCTCGCATAGTGAACTAGAATGTACCGTAACGAAGGTGAAAGAAGCGATTCTAATTGATTAGCTGATATTATCTCAAATAATGTAGGCCGTTCAGAATCTAACTGTGATGCATCTAGCGACGAGTAGTACTCCATTATTCCCCTTTATATACCCCCTTTATATATACCCCTTCTATATATACCATTGATATAATTTTTCATTCTTCTTTTTTCGCTTGCGTTTTATGTGGAGAAGGTTTTGTTAACGAGTTTTATTACAATAGAAGGAAGGAGCCATTCTTGTAGAAGCTGAGTTAATAATGGAGACCATTACTAGCTTAAAGCTGCTTGTAGCAACTTATCATATAAAGAGAGCGAAGCTTAAGGAGTTTGGGTTGGACAAGGTTGAGTATGAACTTTTGATCGATGTTTCAGATATTCCCAATCCATTGTCGTACCCAAAACCTCCTGATTTAGTTTCCAAAAATGGATCAATCATCAAGTTTGATTCAGATAGAGGTGAAAAGGTTGGTAGTGAAGGTTTGGAGGGGGATGAGGTGAAGGAAAACTCTGATTTACTTTTCTTTTCGGATGATTTTGAGTTTGCTCAGTCGCCGGGTATTTTGCAGTCTTCACAATTCATCTTGGATTCTGAACACTAGTATACCAGCGGGAGCCAACCAGTGGGAGCCAACCAGCGGGAGCCGAAGGCGACGCTGGTGGAAGAAGCTGAAAAGCTAAAAGGGTGTTGACAAGCTACAAAGTGCTGCTCCACTATCGAGCAAAGCGAGATAGTGTCGCTAAAAGGGTGTCAACAAGCTACAAAGTGTTGCTCGATAGTGTCGCTAAAAGGGTGTCGACAAGCTACAAAGTGCTGCTCCACTATCGAGCAAAGCGAGATAGTGTCGTAGTGTCGGTGTAGTCAGTGCTGCTCCACTATCTCGCTTTGCTCGATAGTGTCGTAGTGTCGTAGTGTCAGTGCTGGTAATCAAATTATACATAAATGTAAATATATGCATACACACATACATATACAACATCAATTTTTCTTTTCTTAAAATAACGTTTTAGAAGGTTCCAATTGACAAGAAGAATAATCAAGCTTAAACCCATATTTTACAAAAATCTCCCAAAAATTCAAATCAAACACTTGGTAATCTCCAATCTCAAAAGCTTGAGTCTTATCCAATGGCTGTTGTTGGTCACTAGAAGAAGAAATCAATTTTAGTCTCCTGAACCAGTAGAAATACTGACTGGAATGGTTTTCTTTATTCATACCATCTGTCGAAGCAGCTCGCGAAACAGAATTGTTAATTGTTGTAGGCACATCTAACTGGGTCCTGTATGGTTTCCAACCTAATTCAAACAAACTACTTTCTGCTATAAGGTTTTCTGCTGGTGTTAATCCATAGTAAAAACCATAGAAAAATACAAATGTTAATTCAGCAATCAAGGCTGCGTTTTCGGGCGTCTCTCGTAATAACAAATCCTTAATTTCTTTTACTAGACCCCCAAACCCATAGTAGGCCCTGATCTTGTTCCAATGAGACTGAAATTTGGTTAATTGTATAGGATGCTTGAAACTGAAGTTTGTAAACTGAGAATAATAATTTGGTTGAACAATCTTGGGCAAATACGATTTATAAATTGGACAAGTATACTGATTGAAATCTTGTGAGTCAACCAAGATCTTGAACTCGTCGTTATTACGCTTCGAAGCAAATGAGACGGCCAAGTCTTGAATTCCGGGAGGTACACGCACCAAATTCATATCTGCAAACAAGTTCAATTCTGTCTTTGATAATGAGGAGTTGGCTATTATGTTTTTGTATTTATCCAAATCAATTGGCTCTAGTTTTATCGGGTCAAACTGTACATTTTCTTCTTCCTCTTTTTCTTCTTCTTTTACTGCTTCTTCTTGTTGTTCTTCCTCTGCAGCGGCTCGATTGTTGGGGCTCTCAACTGCAACATTTCCTTTCTGTAATCCTTCATCTTCATACTCGGTTGATGATGACTTATATAGAGTGTCCGGGATACCAACTGCTGCTGCTGCAGACCACTTGAGGCCACCTACGGGCTTTGAAGGCGTTGTAGCTGGCTTTAACGATCTTACTATTGCAGGAGAGGCAATCTCTGGACTAGTTTGTGACCCAGAATTTTGTTGACCATGTAGTGTATGAGAGTGATTCTGTGATGATAAGGAGGAGGTGGTGGTGGTGGTGGGGGTGGAGGTAGTGGCGGCGGCGGCAGCGACTGCGGGGGCTTGGTTGTTTTGAGTAGGAGGTGATGAATAACTATTTTTGGAAAGGTGGTGGTGAGCTTGTTGTGGACCGGAACTGGATAGCACCGGTTGTGTTGTTGAATGATTAGCAGCTGCGCTTGTATTGTTGTGTTCATGAGCTTGCAGGTTTGTAGGATGTGATGTTGATGATGATGCCACTGTTGTTGTTGTTGTTGCTGCTGCTGCTGCTGCAAAGTTTTCCAGTATATAACCATTTTTCTTTGTTGCAGAATATTCATTATTACCTTCTTCCAGTGTTGGTTCAGTTGAATGATCTTCATGAATTTCGGAATAGTCCTCCTCTGCTGCAGCGATTTGATTAAAGATATCCTCATACAATTCGGTATCCTTGCCAAAGTCGTAATCTCCATTTGTGTTCAAGTATTGTTCAATATCTCCCTTTAAAGCAAAAATAAGATTAAACTCAATCACCAGACCATTTTTCAATAATTTGATCAACTTGCGCAATTTCTTTTGATGAAACTTATTATTGGCTATTGTCGCCTGTATCTTCTCCTTCTTTGCTTCTATCGTTGACAAGTTATTCTTTCTCAATTTCTTTCCTGCTAATTTTTCATGCTCGTGTGTGGACTTTTCTGTTTGCTCTTTTAGCTCACTAATAGCATCCTTGAAAAATTTTATCGAGTCAACTGCTTCTTCCGATAGCCCTTCATACTCACTTTCGTCCTCTTCTTCGCTGCTTTCTATTTCCTCGCTATCCTCGTCGTCCTCGTCTCCATGCGCGCTATCGATAAAGGTCATCATGATCGACTGGTTGGAAAATGTCTTCAACTTGGTTTGTTTTTCCACGGATTTGTACGTCTCCATAGCATCTTCAATAACACTCTTATTCTCTAGCAACTTCCCCATATATGACGTCCCTACCGGCCCTAGCGTGTTCACAGCATCGTTCAGTAGCCAATGTTTTATCTGCTCCCTAAATTTCTGTAGCTTTTTGATCTCTTTTTTCAAATCATTCGCTAGCTTCTCCTTTTCTCGCTGGTTATCAGAATCGTCCTCTGTATTCGTTAGACTCTCATACCTCTCATAGTGATAGTTAAAATCCTGTAATCCTTCCTGGATTCTTTTAAAAATGATATCGATATCCCTACAAGAAAAAAAAAAAAAGTGGAATAGTGTTAGTCACCATAAACAGGAAAAAGAAAAAGACAACTTCTGTCAGGGATTTCCTGGGCAATAATACATACTTCTGTAGCTTCCTATTCGCCATACTCTAGCCTTCTTTTTGAGGGGGGTTACTTTAAACTCGAAAAATGTAAAGGTACAACTTTTTTGGTGAAATTTTTCTGCTTTCTGAAAATCAATTTTTTTTTTTTTTTTTTTTTTTTTTTCGGTTCGTTTTTTATCACTTACAATTGCAATTACAGAAACATCCTGTAGTTTCCAAATAGAAATGAAGGCAAGTATATATGATTAAAGGGTGTTTTTCCCCACTATCAAGAGGTATTTTTCCCCCCATAATCATCAATAACAGTGTTATGAAAGGATACTTTTCATGTCACTGTTTTTAGTTGGTTTTCTCTTTTTTTTTTGTCTAAATTTTGTTTGTCACTTTTTTTTTTTTTATACTCTTACAATGATCTATAATAATATATAAAACAAAGGGGACTTCTTATTTACAATTCGTCATGATCTAATTCGTCGTCTGAATCGTCGTCGCCAAATTTAGCATCATCACCTCCGTCATTTGGACCAGCTTCACCGCCGCCATATAATTTAGATGTTATTGGGTTAGCAATGTCGACTAATTTTTGTTTTTGATCTTCAAATTCTTCAGCAGTAGCAGTATCAAAGTTATCTTCAATGAATTCCAAAGTTTCCTTGATAGCATCGTCTAATGTTTCCCTGTCATCCTCGTCCAATTTCGAACCTAATCCAGTGTCGGATTTGTCATTCAATTGACCTTTTAGAAGGTGGGCATAGTTTTCTAATGAGTTTCTAGCTTCAATCTTTTCCTTCAATTCTTGATCTTGTTGAGCATACTTCTCGGCTTCTTCAACCATTCTGTCAATATCATCCTTAGATAACCTTCCCTTTTCATTGGTAATTGTAATACTCTTGGATTTACCTGTTCCCTTGTCGGAAGCTTCAACTTTCAAAATACCATTGGCATCTAAAGAAAATGTCACTTCAATTTGAGGAACACCTCTTGGAGCTGGTGGAATACCAGTTAATTCAAACTTACCCAATTTGTTATTGTCCTTAGCCATTGTTCTTTCACCTTCGTAAACTTGGATCAAAACAGTTGGCTGGTTATCGGCAGCTGTTGAGAAAATCTGTGACTTTTTAGTTGGAATAGCAGTGTTTCTCTTGATCAAAGTGGTCATAACTCCACCTGATGTTTCTATACCCAAAGTCAATGGATTGACATCCAACAAAACAATGTCATCAACTCCCTCTTCACCACTCAAGACACCAGCCTGGACAGCGGCACCATAGGCAACAGCTTCATCTGGGTTAATACCTTTAGATGCCTTTTTACCATCAAAGAAATTTTCCAACAATTCTTGAACTTTTGGTATTCTAGTAGAACCACCAACCAAAACTATATCATCGATTTCAGACTTCTTAACGTTACCATCTTTCAAAACTTGTTCAACTGGTTTCAAAGTTTTTCTAAATGCAGCAATATTCAACTCCTCAAACTTGGCTCTTGAAAGAGTTTCAGAAAAGTCAATACCATCGACAAATGAATCAATTTCAACTCTAGTGGACATTTGTGAAGATAAAGTTCTTTTGGCTTTTTCAGCTTCTCTCTTCAATTTTGAAATGGCTTTTGGATTCGACGTAATGTCAATGTTGTGCTTCTTTTTGAATTGCTTGGCCAAGTATCTAACAACCTTGTGGTCAAAATCTTCACCACCCAAATGAGTATCACCAGCAGTTGCCAAAACTTCAAAAACACCACCTTCGATGGACAACAATGACACATCAAAGGTACCTCCACCCAAGTCGTAAACGATAATTTGTTTCTCCTTATCAGTCTTGTCCAATCCATAAGCAATAGCTGCTGCTGTTGGCTCGTTAACAATTCTCAAGACATTCAAACCGGCAATGGTACCAGCATCTTTAGTGGCTTGTCTTTGAGCATCGTTAAAGTATGCAGGAACAGTAACAACAGCGTGAGTGACCTTTTTACCAAGATACTCCTCGGCGATATTCTTCATTTTACCCAAAATCATACCTGAAATTTCCTCGGGAGAAAATGTCTTTTCTTCACCATTGAACTCAACTTCAACAACCGGTTTGTTGCTCTTGTTTGTAATCCTGTATGGTAAATGCCTCAATTCCTTTTGTACTGTGTCATCGTTATATTTCAAACCAATTAATCTCTTAATGTCAAAAATGGTATTGTTGACATTAGAAGGAGCTTGATTTTTAGCGGCATCACCAACTAACCGTTCATCGCCGTTAAATGACACATAAGATGGAGTAATTCTATTTCCTTGGTCATTGGCCAAAATCTCAACCTTACCATTCTTCATTACTCCAACACATGAATATGTAGTACCCAAATCTATACCTATAACAGTACCATAACTATCTGTACTGTCTTCATCGGAACCACCAGCTCCAGCAACAACAGCAGATCCACTTCTAGATGAAACTAAAAATGGAATCAACATCACCAAGGCTACATAAAGTAGACCTATACGGGGAAACCAACACCTAGATTGAGTAGCTCTCATGACCTTAATCAACTTAACCCTTCAACAACAGAAAAAAGAAAATAAAAACAGGACTGTTGAAAAAAAAAAAAAAATTGTTCAAAGTTATAACAGATGGATGAAAAATTCAAACCGATTTATATGGCTCTGTTAATGAAGCACTAAAGAGGAAGAAAAAATAAAAAAGAAAAGGCCACACCAACAAGTTCTGAATTTTTAAACACGTTCTTTAATAACTGACACGTAATTAAACAAGATTTCAGGTCTAATATGTCTCTTGTATAAATAAAGTGTCAACCTTGAAAGTGAAGTGTCAATCTTGAAGAAGAGGGGGGAGGGGAGAGAAGGGGAGGGGGGGGAAGAGATGGGGGTTTATATAATAGGCCAAACTTCTTTTATGACGTGTCTTCAAAAAAAAAAAAAAACTATTTACGTAGTTCATCTCCGCAATTAAGCCTTTTAAAAATTTATATATGTTACTTATATTCATAGTCTTAAAGTTGCAAAAAGCGCTACCGTTATGAATAAGTGCAACCGATTGAAAGAATCTGCTAGAAAATGAACAATGGAAAAAAATGAAAAAAAAAAAAAAAAAAAGAAAAAGAAAACAAAAATGTGACGTGTAAACT